AAATACAGCATATCCCCATATTTGTTAACCTGAACATGCCTAGCTATATTGAGCTACGTAATATGATTAAAACATGCATTGTGATTAGATTAACTACGTTTATGTCTTTCCTTGTTAATCTTTTAAATATGTACATTGAATTTAAACTACGCTGTATATATATTGATATAGAACTTGTAATTGCGTCGATTCATGTTAACTTGTAACATAGGATATCAAAATAAATTAGTTGATATAGAGACTACGCATTGATTACTTCGAGCTTTGAGATTTGGCATTCATCAATTAAGAGCTTGTTTGGTAGCTACGCTTGTGCCCCTGTGTGACATTCAGAGCTGATGAGATTGTGCCCAGTGGTTTGGAATTGATCGACTAAGATCTTGTTTGATAGCTACGCTTGTGTCCATGTGTGACATTCAGAGCCGATTGTGTCCATTCGTTTGACATTGATCGCTGACGGGTTGTACCTGGATCGATACAGTTCTGGACAAAGTTTTAAGAGTACGGAATTTGCTACAAATAGACATTAGTTCTATCTAATGTTTCTGTAAAGTGAAAACATACGAGCAGTCAGCTGTACAGTTAACAGAAACCGGTTTATATAAGTACGCTTATAGGACGAGTTCTGGAACATTCTCTTCACAGAAACATCAGACGGAAATAAAAATATTAAAGATTTATTGATAACTTGATTATATTTAATTCTTTTTTTCGTCCAATCCCTTTAAAATGAATTGTGGTAATTAATCCGTGAATGTAAATATTTCATGTTTATTGTTTCCATAACATTTATTTTTGTTTCAGGTCAATGGCCGAGCTCTATAGAGAAATCAACTTCCAGCAACAACTGGACCTATTCAATCGTTAAAAATGTTGGATAACAATTGTAAACCAGATTTAAAACATAATATAAAATATAGAGGAAATAAACAAAGTTAGATCCAGCTACTATTTATAGTATCTTGTTTATGAGCCTAGCAGAAATATAAGAAATGATGGTAAATAATTTTCAACATAAAATATAAGCACATATAAGCACATATTTGAATATCATGACAGAATTTTTTTTAAAGTCATAATGAAGATTTCAGGAATTGCTATTCATATCGGTATTCTTTACCCTCAAACTGGTAAATGAGGAATACATTGTCGTTGTCTATTCAGGAAAGTTGATTGATTCATCATTCCCTTCTTTGTCATTGGAAATTAACAATTTCTAAAAGAGATAGACATGTTTTGTCTCGAAGGTTTAAAAGACATGTACTTAAATGAAGGACCATTTAACATTCCGTTGTGAGTTCTGTAAGGTGGATCATTTTTAACTATCCTAGTTATAATTAGGCCTGAGCAAAGTTCCTTTACAACGGCGGTTTTAGAACGTTAAAATTTATTACTACATGAAATAATTGGCTGGCACCGTGAACGATTTCAAAAATATCAATCGTTAAACCCGTCAAAATAATTTAAAAGCCGATAACTGAACGAAACGGAACGTTCAGTTCCTATCTGGAAAAAAACGAATACCTGAAAAGTTAGTCCGTTCCGTTATTTTACCGAACAATTTGAAAAAAGTCTGAATGTGCCCAGCTCTAGACGTAAACGCTAACCCAGCATAAACTGTAAAAAATACCCTTTTCTTTCAACGGTCGCTTGTAAAAAAAGCACTTTAAAAATAGTGAAAAACTTAATTTCAAAGACAATTAAAAAAAATATTTCTCGGTGAACAACTTCATTGCAGAGACAATTACAAAGTAAAAAATAAGAAAATACCATTTAGAAATTTGATATGTTAATGCTGAAATATCTACTTTTGGAACTAAAGTATTCTTGTTACGTATTAGATCAAACTACAGTTTCCTTAATTATAAAGTAAAAGTATTCTTGTTACGTATTAGATGAAACTACAGTTTCATAAATTATAAAGTTAAAGTATTCTTGTTACGTATTAGATCAAACTACAGTTTTATCAATTATAGAGTTAAAGTATTCTTGTTACGTATTAGATGAAACTACAGTTTCATCAATTATGGAGTTAAAGTATTCTTGTTACGTATTAGATTAAACTACAGTTTCATCAATTATAGAGTTAAAGTATTCTTGTTACGTATTAGATCAAACTACAGTTTCCTTAATTATAGAGTTAAAATATTCTTGTTACGTATTAGATGAAACTACAGTTTCATAAATTATAAAGTTAAAGTATTCTTGTTACGTATTAGATCAAACTACAGTTTCATAAATTATAAAGTTAAAGTGTTCTTGTTACGTTTTAGATCAAACAACAGTTTCATCAATTATAAAGTTAAAGTATTCTTGTTACGTATTGCATCAAATATCGTCTTACAAATTTCTCAATTCTGATTTATATTTAAGATTCTAGACAAAAAGTGTTGAACGGATGAAGTCAATGAAGAGAATATGTTGAAGATATATATACATATTACATACTACTAAAACCTGATTATTTAACCAAGTTAAAATAAAGTAAAATGAACCAAAGATTGAAATTTTCTATGTTTTCAATCAAAACTAGCGCCGTAATGTAATAAGTTTTGTTGTAGATGTTGAACTTAAATAGGCGAATACAAAAATCTAAACACTGTAAAGGTTTTTTGAAAATATCTTTTAGATGTAGATAGATATTACTTTGGGCGCGGTGAGATAATTTTTAGTAAACAGGGAGCTGACTTTTAAGTAACTTTACTCCAAACATGAAATGCAGTCATTAAATCAGTTAATTGGATTTAAGATTCGGCTCGAATAAACTATGCCTTGTTTCTTAGTTTTTGTTGACCAAACCAATAAGAAAACTAATTGAAAATTTGATTTAAGTCAATACAGATGGCATGATTGGCATTGCCGGTTAAGGAGCGCGCATGCCGCAAAACACGTTTGGGTGGCGGTGATTACTTATTACACCAGAGGTTGCTGCGTTTTCACTTAAAAAAATAACTATCAAAAAAAAATTTCAAAATCGTTCGAACGGTTTCGAATTGAGAAATCACCGTAAGGCCCCGAAAAAATATTTTGAAATATTTCATGTTACACATCAGTTTCTTGGAAATTTGATGCTTAATTCAATTCTAAAAAGCGATTTATGAAAAATAAAAAAATAATGAGTTAGAGCTAGAAAACTCATCAAAAACATTAAAAAGTTTTTAAACAGATTTTGGACCATTATTTTGCTATAAAACTTCTTTAATTTTTAATACTTTTAAAAGCACTTTTCAGAATTGAATTCACCATAAAATTTTCAAGAAAATTGTTTATAATATGAAATTTTTCAAATTTTTTCAAGTGAAAACGCAGCAATCTCTTTTGGGCGGATAGCTTGATTCCAATATTGATCACACTTAATATATATATCATTATTATCATTGTTTTTAAAGCAAGTTTCTCGTATACGAACCATGGGTCTTTTTTGTGTTTACATTGAATAACCATAGATTTAATATATATTTTTATTTCACAGATAATCTGAATTATGATCATTTTTGTCTGAAAAGTTCTATCCAGGTGTGTTTACTTCGTTTATTAGTATTAGCATAATGTAGCGTCAATAAAAGATGTTCTGAAAGTTTTCTTGAAACCATTTTCTATTATACCGAATGTCGTCTTCCTTTGAACTAATGCGGGAAAGCTAATATTGATCCTGGTTTCGTCCAGTGTACACTGTACACCCGTTGCATTCGATCATCCTGTCTCCTTAACAGATGATTATTATTATTCATGAACTTATTTATATTTTAGAAAAAGATGCATTGAATTGTGAATTAAAAGTTTCTTGAGGAAGTAAAATTTAAATATTTTAGTCGTTCAAAATAATTTACATGTTGAGTTGAACTAATGTTAATTTATGGATAAATCATTTTTTACAAAAATAGTAATAATTATAGGTTAACCTTCTTATAAACCTATTTCAGATAAAATCAATGAGAATGTGACGGAAACGCTTAAAATCAGAAATAAAGCTATTAAGGAATACATGATACATAAACACCAACATGATACATAAACACCTTCATGATACATAAAAAACTACATGATACATAAAAAACTACATGACACATAAAAAAACTACATGATATATAAAAAACTACAAATATCTGTGCTTATTTTATTATAATCTTTTAAACCCTAACTGTTATACCATGATACATGGGTGTCCCACATCAAATCGGACTAGATTAAAAAACACCTTTTCCGTTGTTGTCGATTTTAACTGTACAGATGGGCCTGACAACTATTTGAAATAATATCGAATTATTGTGAGTAACTAAATAGATAAAAAGAAACATCTATAGATATAAAGTAGTAATCTTTGTTTGTTTGTTAGATGTAGGATCAGAACTCAGGAACCCCTTAAACGACTTGCCTCAATAATTGGGAAAACTCGGGAGAACAACGGGAATGTTATTAGCTTGGTTTTGAGATTCTAAATTGAGTGGGTCGACTTGTTTCGGTAAAAAAAGCTAAAATCGTATTTTAAGAATTAGCGCGGGTAAACGGCGGGAGTAACTATGAGTAACCTGGACAACGCTGGGTTCCCAAGCTATTTTTCTATAATCATATAAAATCTGCAATTAGAATCGTCACCATGGACAATAAACAAACAACACTGTTAGAATAACCCCTAACATTCTGCTTCTAATACAGTACTGTACGAAAATGTTTTCGAAATTACTACAGAATTTCAGGGATATTAAAATTCTGATATCTTTATAATTTAAAAACAAAATGTGAGTAGATTCAATTTATACTTCCTCTAATTCGATATTACGAAAACAAGTGTTTTTTACCGTGAATAATTCACAATTTGACCCAATTGATTTTCCCCGGTCCATGAGTTCGTGACCAACAAAGATTGATTTCTGAATAAGTAATAAATCTATTATTATAATTATTGTTGGATTAAGAAATAAAAGTTTCCTAGCTGTCATCATGTAAACCATAGACTGCATAGTCAACTCCATTTTTGTTCTATTATTTTCAACTAAAACATACTTAGAGCACAGACTCCGCTAGAACAGCTACTGGAAGAAATAAAGTTCCAGAGAAGAAAGGAACTACGTAGCTTCTCACAGGTTTTAATTCTAAAATATCAACAAAATAAAAATGATTTTATAATGAAATATTAAAGAATTTACGATATTTTTAAGAACGCCTTGTTTGATGCATGATATATATTTAGATATTCTATGGAATACCAAGAAAATTTTCAAGAGAATCGTAAAAATGACAAATTAACAGAAAATAAAATAAAAATAAAAATTTAACGATTGCGATAGGAATATTCTAAACTGTGTTTAGGATCCTGGGTTTGCCCTGGCCCACAGTACAACCTACTGGACGGATCTATTTGTCAGGTTCGGAGAAATCAAACACTTTGAACAAGTCTAAATGTGAAAGTTGGCGCGAGTTCAACAAAATTAATTATCTCTTGCTTTAGACACTTCTTGTTCCAGTCTGAACCAAGTATAGACTCAGATGATCTTCTCTTCTTTGTTAGGTATTGGATTAAAGGGACTATTCATGGCAGCAATAATAACCCCAGATTACAAGGATTAAAAGCTTCCCCACCCCTAATATTTCTGAAATTTTAAATTCTCTAGGTAAATCTAGGNATAATACCCCCAGATTACAAGGATTAAAGGGACTGATCATGGTAACAATAATACCCCCAGATTACAAGGATTAAAGGGACTGATCATGGTAGCAACAATACCCCCAGATTACAAGAATTAAAAGGACTGATCATGGTAGCAACAATACCCCAAGATTACAAGGATTAAAGGGACTGATCATGGTAGCAATAATACCCCCAGATTACAAGGATTAAAGGGACTGATCGTGATGGCAAAAATACCCCCAGATTACAAGGCCCAAAGAGACCATTTATGGTAGCAATAATACCCCCAGATTACAAGGCCCAAAGAGACCGTTTACGGTAGACCCCCATTCATTTTCTTTAAAAAATAGTTCCATTGTTAAGAAAACGAGAGATTCCAACTCCTCAGTTCCTCTCCAACAGGGTTGAGAGTGAAGTTGAAGTGTTCAGGTATTAATCATATTTCTCCCCTGACTTTAATTCTAGGAGATTACTTAAAAATAGCATGGCATGTTTTACCACAACAGTACTCATTAACGCTTTTTCTGTTCAAAATAAGAAATTCACGTTTAAATCATTGAAAATTTATCTTATTCAATTGAGGTTTTTGAGGTTTCTCTGCTATAGTGACTGGCGCATTTCTCCTTCATATACAATATACAATCAAACTAAACACGACAATATCATACACATCATTGGTCAATAAGATTCAAAGGGTACCGTTGTGAATCGACCATGCCTCTCTTCCTCAGATTTTTTTTAGGAGAGACAGTAGAAAGCTTCCAATAGGAGATCCTGATGTAGATTGGGAGGAAACTATTTATTTAAACCTTGTTGTTCATATGTTTGATTATACAATCACAGTTGCAATCTGTACAAGGACATCACCGTCTAATCTCCAGGTAGGCTTGGAGATACAGAGGTCAATAACTGGTTCCTTTTCTAGAACTTTAAAGTTTTTGGACTTTTAATAGGCACCACAGAGACACTGTGAACTCGTGAGGTTCCAACATTTTTAAACTTATTCAGTAAAAGTTTTTTTTTAAACATTAATAAATTTCAATCAAAAGAGAAAAAATCAAGAAAATAAAACGATAGTTTTTAGTTTGATATTTGCATAATGCATATATCTCCTCTCAGGGTTGTAAGAAAAGCAAAAGTTTAGAATGAACAAAATTTTTGAAACGTTTTCGATTTTTGTAGAACCTTATTAAAGTCCAAAAACCATAAGTTTTAATAAACGAACCAGTATATTATTCAGTCGCAGATATAGTAGACAATATACAGAAATATACTCGAGGAAACTTTTTCTATTAAAATTCAAAACCTGTTTTTTGTTATTTTCTTTTCACTTTCTATGTTTTCCAAAAACCAAACTTAAGTAGAAATATTTTAAACCGGTTCAGGGTTAAGTCGAACATTTTTAAAGCGGTCAATTTCGATTGGTATCAATTGGCTCGGTCTTAGTGTAGATTGAAATGCGCAATTTAAAAAACTGGGACCTATCATTCAACGGGATTTTAAAACTGGGACCTTTCATTCGAAACCCAAAAATTGGGACCTATCATTCAAAGGATTTTAAAAACTGGGACCTTTCATTTAAAGGATTTAAAAAACTGGGACCTATTATTTAAAGGATTTTAAAAAATGGGACCTTTCATTCGAAACCCTAAAACTGGGACCTATCATTCAAAGGATTTTAAAAACTGGGACCTTTCATTCAAAGGATTTAAAAAACTGGGACCTATCATTTAAAGGATTAAAAAACTGGGACCTATCATTTAAAACATTAAAAAACTGAGACCTTATAGCACTTAAAGAATTCTAATAACTGGGACCTAGCATTTAAAACATTTAAAAAAAACTGGGACCTATCATTTAAAGCATTTTAAAGGGGTTATTTCAACTAATCTTCTGAACCTACTGCTGCATGGGAGCTATCATAAAATTATCAAATTAACTAATCCAATATTACTGTTGTTGTATCATCTTAATTTAGATTATTCGGCGAGCAAGTCAGAAGGTTTACGCAACCCCTAGTCACCGACGCATGGATAGTAAAGCAGACGGAGAGGAGATTATATATCCTTATCTCTGTTTCTCTGTGGATAATTTTGACGAGGCTTTTGAGGATATTCAGGTGAATCATTCATCGGTACTAGTTCAAACTACGGACCCAGAGATGGTACAAACGTCAGATGGTACAAAGGTCGGACAGTGCAAACGTCAGACTGGTACAAATTTCGGACTGGTACAAACGTCGGACTGGGATAAACGTCGGACCAGCAGAAACGTCAGTCGGATACATTTATAAGGAAAAACGTCGGACTTTGGTTTAGTTTGAAAAAAGACCATTGTTGTAAGAAATAAATTAAAAATCATTCACTTATTGTGATAAAAATAAAAGATAACCTTTGATATTTCAACCTATGAAATCTATAAGATCAAACAGTTTAATCTATCCTTATCTCTGCTTCACTTGATGGGATAAAGAATGGTTTAATAGTAATAATATGGGCAGTGGTAGGATAGGGTTGAAGAGTTAGTAGGATTTTATGGGACATGATGGGATAAACAAACTTTTTCTTTCATGAAAATCATGAATTAAGTTTTCAATTTTTAAACTTTTCCTTTCTGAAAAGTTAAACAGAATAAAACTTGTCACTTTGCTGATTTTTCTCGTGGAATCAGGATTATATTTTAAAAATAAATTTTGTATGTCTAAAACAGTACTAGGATATATTCAGAAGTAAATATGATATCAATTTTTTAGTAGAGCTTAAACCCATCGTTCCACTGAGCAGTGCATTTGAGAAAAGAATAGAAATATCAAAATTGGTTTTAACATTTTGCAGTTTAAAAAATCTTTTTCTGAACCTGGCGAATTAAATAAGTTAATTTGATAAGTTAAAGTCAAAACGGCATTTATAGTTAAAAACTTACGTACCTCTTTTTGTGTCAAGTTTAATAAAACTACACCTTCATCCTCAAATTGATAAGTATCTTATCAAGGTGTAAATATACTAATGGGCAAATATTTATTTAATCAAGTTATTTTAATCCAGTTCTTCGTTTCCGAAAGCGTATTTTAAGACAAAAAACGGATTAAAAAAAATCTGTCGGGTCCAGATGAGGACTGAAGTGGTTACAATATGCTTCACAGATAGTTCTATCAAATACCAAGTTACTAATGCAAAGAAAGTTAATTGCGGTCGCGTATTCTCTGCGTACATATTGAAACCAGCTCTCTCTTGGCGGATTTTGTAAACAAGAATAGACGCATCAGTGTTCGTCTAGTATCCGAGGAAGATAAAAGCATTTAATTTTGATAATTTTGAAAATTCACATAATAGTGTCTATGACCAGAATATTCTATAGATTATTTTTGTGAAAATTGATTCCATGTCAGGCGAGTCAGGCTGTGACATCCGTCTTGTGTTTATTTTTCCGCCCAAAGACAGTACATTGCAGTACAAAAAATGCGTACACCTCTGAAATAACTTTCCTTGCATTAGTACCTTATCAAGTACGATCTTTGAAGAAAAATCGGAGCGCAAAAAATCTAATCAATTAATCTTAATTACTGTTTTTCCTTTACACATTTTTAAAAATTCAAACCACCTTGAATAATATGAACAGTCCCTTTAAAGGTGCGTGATGGAGAAATGGTTGCTGTAGAGCTGGTTGCCCGTGATTGTAAAGGAAGTATTGAAGCTGTCCTATCCCTGGGTTGTGTCCAGTATGAGGCTGTGAGACGGGTTTATGATGCACGACAAAGCCAAACTGTTTCTCAACGTCTCAGCCAGACAAACCTTATCTCAATATTCATCTCACAAAAGGTTAGATTATTAGTTTTCTCTTTCTAAAGCTAAATGGGAATTTTACCGCAATTAAAAGAAAGGCATGTCCTGTCAGATTCCCCACCATGCCCTTGAAACCTTTATCGCGGTTACAATCACGAATTTATCTTGAAAAGTTTTAATTTGTAATAATTTCCGTCATTGTATTCTGCCTTTAACTTTAGATGATTTGAAGGGGTTGAAGAGTTAGTTGGATATTATAGTACATGATGAGATAAAGAATGGTTTACTATAGTAATAATATGGGCAGTGGTAGGATAGGGTTGAAGAGTTAGTAGGATTTTATGGGACATGATGGGATAAAGAATGGTTTAATAGTAATAATATGGGCAGTGGTAGGAGAGGGTTGAAGAGTTAGTAGGATATTATGGGACATGATGGGAAAAAGAATGGTTTACTATAGTAATAATATGGGCAGTGGTAGGATTGGGTTGAAGAGTTAGTAGGATATTATAGGACATGATGGGATAAAGAATGGTTTAATAGTAATAATATGGGCAGTGGTAGGAGAGGGTTGAAGAGTTAGTAGGATATTATGGGACATGATGGGAAAAAGAATGGTTTACTATAGTAATAATATGGGCAATGGTAGGATAGGGTTGAAGAGTTAGTAGGATTTTATAGGACATGATGGGATAAAGAATGGTTTACTATAGTAATAATATGGGCAGTGGTAGGATAGGGTTGAAGAGTTAGTAGGATTTTATGGGACATGATGGGATAAAGAATGGTTTAATAGTAATAATATGGGCAGTGGTAGGATAGGGTTGAAGAGTTAGTAGGATATTATAGGACATGATGGGATAAAGAATGGTGCATGTTAGAAAATATAAAGATTGGGGATTTAGCAAGGATAAAAAGAAAAGGAGGGGAAAATATCTTTCAAATAAATTCCGATTATACAGTAAGCAATGTCTTCTAAATGTATTTGATGTTAATGTAAAGAAAAACAATTATTACGTGAAATGAGTATCCGTGTAAACTGTGTAATTTCTGTACTTCTGTATTTCATATAATTAGACTAGTTAAAAGCTTAACTTGAGTCTAACAGTCGTCTTCCCATTCCAGAGTTTCATGGGTTTCATTGTAGTAATTTATAAATAAAATGGTCTAAAATGTCTATTTAATCTAAACAATTGGTTCAAGCTTAAAGCTTAAAGCGACTGCAAACGTAATTTTAAGTGACCATACATTACAAGAGGTCTGCATGTATGATAACAATATTACCCATTTACCCTTCGTGAGATCAAATTTTGTAGATTTATCCTTGTTTTCCGATTGGAAAATTATGAACTTTTGAAAACGATATCTGCCAATTGTTAAAAGGGGGAATAGAGCACCTTAAATGTGGATTCACTTGAAACTAAACCAATATTCTCTTTAAAGTGCTAAAATGTTTATTCAAGTGTATCCTGTGTTTCCAAAACTTCTAGAAAGTGCAACAAAAAACTGAGATTTCACTTGACACATTTTCATCTGTTTTTAAAACTTATTCATCTTATTTAAGTTGTTTTAAGAATTTATATCCAAGGAGAAGGTTGAATATATCCTTATACCAGAATATATCTCAGGGGAGGGTTGAATATATTCTTATATCAGAATATATCTTAGGGGAGGGTTGAATATATACTTATATTAGAATATATCGTAGGAGAGGGTTGAATATATTCTTATATTAGAATATATCCTAGGAGAGGGTTGAATATATCAGAATATATCCTAGGAGAGGGTTGAATATATCCATATATCAGAATATATCTTAGGAGAGGGTTGAGTATATCAGAATATATCCTAGGAGAGGGTTGAATATATCATAATATATCTTAGGAGAGGGTTGAATATATCCTTCTATCAAAATATATCTTAGGAGAGGGTTGAATATATCCATATATCAAAATATATCTTAGCAGAGGGTTGAATATATCCATATATCAGAATATATCGTAGGAGAGGGTTGAATATATCCATATATCAGAATATATCCTAGGAGAGGGTTGAATATATCCATATATCAGAATATATCCTAGGAGAGGGTTGAATATATCAGAATATATCCTAGGAGAGGGTTGAATATATCAGAATATATCCTAGGAGAGGGTTGAATATATCAGAATGTATCCTAGGAGATGGTTGAATATATCAGAATATATCCTAGGAGAGGGTTGAATATATCCATGTACGAGGTGAGGGTGAGAAAGGACATGCTGAACTAGCAATCTCTAAACCTAAAGGAGCAGGATGTGATACTCCTAGTTCTGAACCTGGTTGCTCCCTGACAGACCAGTGGGAGGATGGGTTCTGTAGTGAGGAGGAAGGATCGGAGTTGGTTGCAAACTCTAACTTCTCCTTCAAGAAAGGACACCAGAGGTAAGGTTTATAGTTCTTCCATAATATTTTACGCTAGGGTTTCCAGGTTTTAAGCGAGAAAGATAACGATATTTACATATCGATGATCAGACAAAGGTTTAAATGGTACTGTTGTGAATCATATATATACATTTTCACTTGAAATTTTCTTTACGTTCGCTCTCCTCCTTAAAAATAAATATGTCTGCTAACTCAATGGTGTCTCTTGTAACACGAAAATTATTTGGACTTTTGAAAAATACTCCATAAATAAGCCGTTTACAAAGGAATTGAGTCTCTGTCACAAACTCTGATTTTCTAATTACTATATCTTTTGAACCAAATGTTGCAGACCTTAGATATTTCAAACTATGATTTCTGTTAGATCAAATAATCTGAGTTTGAAATTTCAAAGGTTTACAACATTGAGTTCTAAAGATATTTAGGTTTTTAAATATTTGATATTGTTCCAAAGACTCAATTTCTTTAGAATTATTGAAATCCAAGGCTTCAAAACCAAGTTTAGTTTGGTCTTTAAGGTCACCAAGAGCAAATGCCTGCGACACTAAAATTTGTGTCTGATGTAGGATGAAGGAATAGTGAATTCTTGGATAAGAAGTTCAAGCATGAAATTGTCATCCTCGTCCAATTCTTGAGCTGTTTCTGCCAAAAGGCTGTGTTTTCAGCCATGGTTCATTTGCTGTCTAGGGTCACCTTTTTAGATGTATATTTATTGCTTCTAGATACACATAAATAATGAATAACGATTGTATTAAAGGAGAGGAAGATGAGTAGGTCTTCTCTGGGTCCAGAATCCAACGCTACTAATTTGCGTATTTTATAACCCTAAGTAGTATTAACTTTATATGAAGGCTTTAGAACTGCATGGTTCTAGATACCCCCTGAGTAGTATTGACTCTATATCAAGACCCATATTAGAACTGCACAAAGTTTTCATTATCTTTCTTCTGCTCCAACCAGTCCCTAGAGTGCACTTGCCTGAGAAATCCAGCACTGACTAGAATACCCTGATCTTAATCAATAGGTTTTTTTCAGGGAAGATAAAGGAGGATATCAAATGTTAAAAGGATAGAAATTTGCGTAAACCAAAACTAAATTTGCTAAAAGAAAACCTTGATATTATGGCAAAACCAATATGATTTTAGTGTTTTTTAAAATCTTTTTAGGCGACTGAGTGATCCTTCTGCAACTATAGACACCTGGTTGAAAGGAGGTTGGAGATCTAAGTCAGGTTCAAGGTAGGAAACATGGAGATCTCTATAGTTCTTAGTTTGGATGAAAAGTTTTAACTTGAGTAGGTTAACTTTCATAGAGAAAGTTTAGATTCCAGGCGAACCTGGGTTCCCAAGCTAGCTGTAAGGACTCCTACTAAATTTGAATTTATATAGAAATAGGACTTCATACTGAATCTGAATATATATATATAAATAGGACTTCTACTGAATCTGAATATATATATATATATAAATAGGACTTCTACTGAATCTGAATATATATGTTTCCGCCTCCTGTTCTCCAACCGCCACCGCCGCTACTCTTCGCCATTTTTGTGCTCCATAAAGGCACATTGCAAAATGTTTGAATCTAATCATTATTTTTCTGAACCAGGGGAGCTCGTGTGAAAACAGCCTGAGCTATCTTGTAGCTCCCCGGCCACAAAATATATATATGTAATTGTATAGTCATTTTTATTAATATGAATATTGTTAACTTGTGGCCTAATAAATGATTTGATTTGATATATATATATAGGACTTCATACTGAATCTGAATGTATATATATAAATAGGACTTCTACTGAATCTGAATATATATATATATATAAATAGGACTTCATACTGAATCTGAATATATATATATAAATAGGACTTCTACTGAATCTGAATATATAAATATAAATAGGACTTCTACTGAATCTGAATATATATATATAAATAGGACTTCTACTGAATCTGAATATATATATATATAAATAGGACTTCATACTGAATCTGAATATATATATATAAATAGGACTTTTGCTGAATCTGAATATGTATATATAAATAGGACTTCTACTGAATCTGAATATATATAATATAAATAGGACTTCATACTGAATCTGAATATATATATATATAAATAGGACTTTTACTGAATCTGAATATATATATATAAATTGGACTTCTACTGAATCTGAATATATATATATAAAAAGGACTTCTACTGAATCTGAATATATATAATATAAATAGGACTTCTACTAAATCTGAATATATATAGGACTTCTACTGAATCTGAATATATATATACTGTTGATTGCCGCAAGGGATGAAACATCATGTTTAGTAAATCCTGAAATATATTTAAATCTTTTAATTTGAAGTTGATTCTTTAAGTATATATATTTGGTATATGAGTGTGAATATATATATATATGTATATATATAGGACTCCTACTGAATCTGAAGGTCTGGAGAAGTGGATGAATCCTGTGATTGAGATTGAAGCTGGAGATATTAGGGATTGTCTAGATGATGGAACCACTAATCCACTCTGGACCATGAAGGGATATACTCAGGTATAGATTATACATATAGAGGGTTTCAAAATATATAAAACCTTCAGAAATCCTCAAAAACAAAAAAACAATGTCTAAATTTAAGAAAAGATTTTTTCCTTCTTACTAGTTACTTGGTTCAATTCTCAAGTTCAAAAGCCTTATGTCATATAAAGGGTTGACGGTGCCACGAGTTCCACAAAATAAAGTTTATTCCGTATGAACAGATGAAAAGATGAAAAATACATCTACTTTTTAAAAAGCCATAATAAGCTAGACACTAAATTTAACACTAAAAGAAACTGATTACCCTCCTCAAGCTCATCATTTCTAATTCGTTTATCGTTGCAACCTCAAGTCATGGAAAGGAATTAAATCCTTGCAACAAGCTCAAATGTTCTAATCCCTAGATCTTTGCAACCTGATGGTGGTACACCTTTGATATTTCAACCTTAGATTATTTGAGCTAACAGAATTCATAGTTTGAAATAGGGTTGCAAAGATATAGCGAAAAGTTTGTGGCAAAGACTCTCTTCCTTTTGTGATCAAGCATTGATCTCCATCATATGCAGATCTACGGATTAATTTGATTCAATTTGAAAAATTCCGTGGGACCATGCCCTTCAGGTATAACTAAAATGAAGGGATTAAGATAAATGTTAAGATCAAAAGTGCACACAAATTGGATATCGAGATATTCCAAACTTTATATTTGCTACATGAAGAAGTCAAAGTTTAAAATATAAAAGGTTTATACAGGTATTTATATATCAGGTGTTTGATGCAAGTTTTCAGTTCTTTTGTTTGAATGGATATTTAAAACTAAGGAATTAGTCCAAAACTCCAAACTTGGATTATCATTCAGACCACAGCAGTTTTTACGGTTTACTAAACCCTTCCCTTTCCCATTGTGCAGCCAGCCTTAATTTGCTGCAAAAACGCGCTGGGTTCACTACACACCTTGTGCATGGTGCAAAACCTACACTAGATCGGTAAATCCTTGTACGGATTCGGATCCTCCAAGGATTGGACTCATGTGATATATATTCTGTGTTTTCATTACCTTTCAGGATTTATATTTACATCTCCTGCAGTAATTAGGTTAATCCTAGTTACTGAGCTAGACCTAGATCTAAGAAGAACCCAACTCTTCTTCTTATTTTCTACAGTTCTATTTGAACCTGGAGTAAATGTATTTCCCACATTGCATCTCTAGCCTCTCAGTTCGGAGAAACATTTTAAATTAAATTGGAGTAAAGAGATCAATCTAAAGCATTTTATTAAAATGTATAGTCGACACTGAAGCATTAAACTTTGCACATCTAGAACTTTTGCTCAAGATCATGATAACGCGTGTAGCCATATTTATTAATATCATATCTCAGATGTCGAAGATACTTTAAACTGAGCAATATTTTTCCAGAGTTCTGCACGGACAAAGAAAAGAACCTTACTCCGCAGGGATTTAAACATATATTTAAAAATTTTATTTTTCTCTTGGTTGGTTTATTGGGATCATATAAACTCCAAAACGGCGAAAACTTTTAATTATTAAAATTATTTTAAAAATAGTTTAACAGGAACATCTGTGAAATTTTTTAGTGCAGTTGTTTTATTCTTGCACTAAAAGTTGTAAGGAGAAGTTATTGTTTAAGCTGTACGAAGAATAAAATCTTGCAGATATACCAACAACAAAAAGCTATAATTATTTCAAGCCTAGACCTGATTAAATCTAGCTTGTTTGATTTGTCCGTACTTTCATTTACTCTGTAGTAGAAATAATTCGAGTCTAAATGAAAGTTAAGAATGCTCGAGAATTATGAGGAAAATCCGGGAACAGGAGAACCGGAATCCAGAAAGGAGTCAGTCGCCTTCCTCAAACATGAGAACATGTACTCCTGGTTATTAATATGTGTTTATTTACCTATTTAGAGTAAACCACACAGGTATACTTGGTCTTTCTCTAAAACTTTTTAATTATTTTCAGGCTTTTCATGGCTGGAAGGAGACCAAGAGAGCAGGCTGTTTCCCTCTCAAGGTTCAGCTCACCTACCTTACTCTTCCTTGGTGGAACATAATAAAGGATATCCTGGATATACGAGATACTCCACTCCTTAGTTTCTAGATATCCTGGATATATAGGTTATTCCTCCTTGGTTTCTAGATATCCTGGGTATACAGGAAATTCCACTCATTAGTTTCTATTTATCTAGATATACAGGACACTCCACTCCTAAGTTTCTAGATATCTAAATATACAAAATACTCCAGTCCTTTGTTTCTAGATATCTAGATACACAGGAAACTACACTTCTTAGTTTTTAGATATCTAGATATACAGGATACTCCACTCCTTAGTTTCTAGATATCTAGATATACAGGATACTCCACTCCTTATTTTCTAGATATCTAGATATACAGCATACTCCACTCCTTATTTTCTAGATATCTAGATATACAGCATACTCCACTACTTAGTTTCTAGATATTCTGTATATACGAGATATTCCAGGTTATTGATTATTTAAAGGCACATTAGAGGTAATTTCAAGATACCCTACAAAGATTGGAATGCCCGATTCACAACGGTACCCTTTAACCATTATCTTCGACGGTAAAGTAATCCGTTTGTTTATCTCTAAAAATCAAATTTGTACGTTTGCGCGTATGGTGTGAACTCAATACAGCACGGTTTTAAAAAATGTAAATGAAAAAAAAAACAATTTTCTGCTGCTTCTAGAAAGTAAATATTATATTTCTGGAATATAACACATCTTGTAAACACCAATACATACGTTTTTGTGGATAAATAAGGATATCTCGATCCGTCAAAGGAGTAAAGAATATTGTTGTGAATTTGACACGACATTCAACAAACATGAAATTAAGTCTACAGTCCCTTAAACTTAAACTTCAAATATTGAAAAATTCAATGCAATCGTATGCAACGTCCGTATGTGTTTTATATCCGTCAGATCCATGTTTTAATTTTTAGCTGATATTTAAAACCATATCAAATTGTATGTGAATATTTTAGCAAAGGGGATTGAACACTCATCAAAAAATCTAGTTTCCTACCCTATTTCTTTTTAACCTGATGGGTTATATTTCAATATGAGAATTTCTGGCGAGTATTCAGTTCCTTTTCAATTTGTTGCATCATGTACTATAAATGTATAATGTAAGTTTAATGAATATTGTAAAGTGAAAATTAGTATGATTTTGCTAATAGTCGTTTTAAACCCTGTCTTATCTTAGATTCTTTATCTGTAAACTTGTAATCTGTACTATGTAACAGCTTTCCTTGTCGGTAAACCACTTGTCTTTGTAATTGTTAAACTTCAAAATGAATATTTGAAAACCTGAAAACTGAACATTGGGGTTTTTTATCTGAATCTCAAAGAATTATAAATGCTTGCCTTTTTGTATTATTGTCCTATTAAAATATACATTCATAAATTATTCATCAAATATTTTAAATTTTCTGTGCAGCGGCAAAGAAATTGAGTCTTTGTCACAAACTCTGATTTTCTAATCTCTATATCATTGTAACCCAGTGTCGTAGACCTTAGGTATTTCAAACTATGAATTCTATTAGATCAAATAATCTAAGTTTGAAATATCAAAGGTTTACATTACCTGGTTCCGAAGATATAGGGATTAGAACAAATTGAGTTTGTGGCAAAGACTCAATTTCTTTCATAAATTTGAACTGCCTACCGCCGGTTCAAATTTGAACTGCCTACCGCCGGTTTAAATTTAAACTGTCTACCGCTGGTTCAAATTTGAACTGCCTACCGCTGGTTCAAATTTGAATCACTGATTCAAATCCTTCCTTAATCTTTAAAGGAATTGGGTCACAAACTCAAAACTTCTACTACCTATATCTTTGCAACCCAATGTCCTAAACCTTTAATATTTCGAACTATGATTATTTGATCTAACGCAATCAATATAGTTTGAAATATCAAAGGTTTACAACATTGGGTTGCAAAGATAAAGGAATTAGAATATCAGAGTTTGTGGCAAAGACTCAAATCCATGTATCGTTGGTTCAAATTTGAACAGGCAGAAGTTATTGTTCACCAACGTAGCTCAAATTCAGTAAATTTGTTCTCTGGAAGTTAAAGTAAGTGTAGAGGTAAGGACCTTTTATTCTAAGAATTGTCTACCAAATTCACAACGGTACCAGTTAAACTATTGTCCGTGTAACACTAAGAAAAATGTTTTCTTTCAGCCACGGGCAGCCGTAGTACATTTGAATTTCCGAGCTGGGTCAATCTTTCCGGTCCCAGTTTGTACTGTACCTAGTTCTATGGACAGGACTAGCCGGTGCAACAAGGTTGACACGGTCAGACTTTTTGCTTCATATAGGTTGAATTTACTTTTACTAAGGGGCAGAGGTGCGCGCAGCAAATGTGTTAAATTCTTAATTTAATCATTATTGGACCGTAGATAAAAAATCTTGTTAAAAAAAGGCATGTAAATTTAAAAAACGGGTAATATTTTCAATCAAGTTATCCACCCCTCTCCAAACTCTGTGCAGCGCGTCTTTTTTCAAAGAAAAGTATAGTTAAATTATAGGGTTTTGAGTCCATGTTAATTATTTATATTTTGATAAAAATATATTTTAAAGACATAAAAAAAAACGCTGTAGTTGAAGTTGTAAATTTTTTGTACAAAGAACACTACAAAGTGGGAAGAAATTTTTTTGGAAAATTTCAAATATTTAGTTTGATAATAATTTTAGGGCGTATACATGGGAAGGGCAGTGCCTCCCCATAGACCTGTAAAAGGAGGGGCGGGTAGCCCCATCCCCCCCTAGAACTCAGAGCTGAGTTTATGCCTGATATCCAAGAAGCCAAATGTTTTGATATTACAGATCAAATTTTGCCCCCCCCCCCCCCTAGGATCTAAGAGTGGGAGGGGGGGCAAAAAAATATTTCGCGCATATTTGGCCTCCCCCTAGATTTATTTCTGCATACGCCCTTGTGTCACCATAGTCACCATAGATAAATAAATAAACATAGATAGCTTATGTACGCAAAATCACCAAGAATTGTAGTCCGCGAACTCAAACTTCTAGGGGTCAAAGTGTACTTCAATGATAAGCGGGGTGGTTTGGTGTTTTAATGGATTTCATAATGTTCATAATGTTTAATGGATTTCATAAAAAAACCACTCCGAGTGAATTTTATTTTGAATATATCATATTGACAAGAACTGAAGAAGGACATGAGAAGGACTAAACTAACTTAAATTTCTCTCTAAACATCTCTGTACATTTATATCTTTCAAGATGAAAAATGTCGTTTTATGCGCAATCTATCTTTATCTATGTGTGTCACACATAAAATTAAATGAATTTTCATTTTAGTTTGAAATGGGCCGGTGTTCCCCTTGCTCTATTCTACCCTATTTACGCTGTAATCCTTTTTTATGAATATTGGAAAACATAGAAAATCCCACATCAGATAGGGTGCTTTTTAGCTACCAAACAGATATCATCGGAGAAGTATTGAGTACTAGATATATCAGCCATGGAACATTTTACCTACCCAACAGAACTCATCAGAGAACTACTGAGTACGATTTCCATCGGTCAGGGATTCCATTTCCATCGGTCAGGGATTCCATTTCCATCGGTCAGGGATTCCATTTCCATCGGTCAGGGATTCCATTTCCACTAGATATATCAGCCATGGAACATTTTACCTACCCAACAGAACTCATCAGAGGGATTCCATTTCCATCGGTCAGGGATTCCATTTCCATCGGTCAGGGATTCCATTTCCATCGGTCAGGGATTCCATTTCCATCGGTCAGGGATTTCAGATTTCATCGGTGGACCACTGTGTGACATATACATCGGTCATGTAACTTTTCAAAACAAAACAGAACTGATCGGAGAACCACTAAGTAGGAGATACATCAGTCAGGAAACTTTTTAGCTACCAAACGGAACTCTTGAGAACTACTGAGTGACGTATACATCAGCTAAGGAACCTTTTAATAACAAATCAAAACTAATCGGAGAACCACTGAATACCATTTACATCAGTCGGGGAACTTTTAAACAAATATTAACTCAAAATGTCAGATTCATCAGTCAAGGAAATTTTCATCAACAAAACGGAACTCATTGGAGAACCATCGAATATCAGATATATCAGTCAGGGGAATTTTTTTACAACAAAATTTAACTTGACATTTTTTATTACGATTTCAATTTTTCCATAATTGATGCAATTACTACATCTCCTTCCACTACACACTATCTGTATAATCTCTGTATGGCGGGAAAATGAAATGGAAATTCTCCATTACCTGTCGAATAAATCTGCACAAGCTACATACCCACTTACTACTAGAGCACAGAATTAACAGATATAACTGGTTTATTTAATATTTTCATTTTAATTTTAGTTCTTGTAACAAAAATATATTTTTACCTTCTGTCACTTTTTGCTGAACCAATTTATTCTGGAAACTAATATTTCTAGGGTGGTAGGAGATTATATCAATCAAATAAAGACGACTTTTGATTTGAATTTTGATTTATATCAAGCTATCTATCTATCTATCTATTAGGACATCCCAATAACACAAATGTTACCAGGAAACCACCCATCCCGGCAACCCTCCGCCTCCTTTAGGAGTACTTGGGTTACAGAGTTAGCATGACATGTGCAATGATACTGTTATGCCCGAGTGGAAGTAGCCGAAGCCGTGAAGCCCCAACTACTTAGGCTTGTATCTACAGCCTGAATTTTAAGAGAAAGTTAGGTTTATCCTTATTTCCTCCGAGTTTTGGCCGGGTCATTCAATTAAATCTTTTATATTTCTATTCCATACTACGAATTATGTACCTAAGTGTATAGATTAACATATTTTAATAAAGTTTGTTCAACCACTTCACTCTATTCTGCTGCGTGCGTATTGGGTTCGTGGTTGCCGCACCCAATATTATTTTGTTTTGTCAGTTTGAGTGGGTCGTCTTTGTTCCCTCCTTATTAGATTCTGATATGTTTCTCCATGAATTAATATACCTTATTACCAATTCTCCGAAATCATCCATATTCTGGTTGGACTAATGCTCTCATCAATGTTTGCATATACATCATATTCCACACATTATATGCGTGGGTACTCTTTATTCATGAAGTCATTTATGGAGTAGAATTTGTCAGACTAATTACTTCCTCTAATTTCACACTAATTAATCACATCAATACATATGTCATTACTTAATTCCAGGTTCCCTGTTCATGCAATATACTGTCCGTCTATACTGGTTTTCTTTATTCCTGAAGTCATTACCGGACTATAATTTGTTACACTCACTAATTACTCTAATCACACTCATTAGTTACTCTAACCACACTCATTAACCATGGCATTTCATATGTCATTATTTAATCCGGTTTATTTAATTATATTGGCTTGATATAAAGGTAATCCTTTTTCCTGGAGTCAATACTAGTCTACACTTTGTCTGACTCATAATTATTCTAATCCCCCTCCTTAATGATGACATTACCTATGTCCCTACTTAATACTCTCTATTCATGGCATTGCCTATATCATTACTTAATTCACGGTATCCGGCTCATGTAAAAACCTGGCCTGATATATTGGTATTCTTTATTCCTGAAGTCATTACTGGACTAAAATTTGTCAGACTAATTAATTACTATAATCACACGCATTAGTCATGGCATTACATTACTTAGAACATGGTATCCTGGTCATTTGAAAATATTGGCCTGACTAACAATAGTCATGTTATTACACTGATGTGATTAATTAATTTAATGATATTACATAATGTCATTACTCGTTTGTAATTATTCCAATTAATGTTCTATAGTAGCATGAGTAAATGTTATTCATCTTCATTACAGCTGGTTGATCGCTAAATCCACTTTTCATTAACAATTTCACTCTTAAGTTCTTTTTAGTTTATTAGGTAATTAGTCTGCACATGTCCCTCCAGTTCTGGCAGTCCTTGCATCACTCTCCTCACCTCTCATTAGGTAATCGGTCTGGATACATCTCATCCAGCTCAGGCAGTCCTTGTCTCCCACTCACCTAGACACAATACATTAACCATCTAATAGTCCTTTAATTTTACCCTAGGTAACATGTACTGTGGTTTTAGTGTAACAAACTTTATACTAATAATCCATTCACTTAGGTACTGAGCATTACTTTTTACAATTTTTCGGCTGCTGTCTGAATTTTCCATTTAAGTACTGATTGGTTACTTGTGAAGAATAAATGCCTGATCCCTCAATTGTACTTATCCCTGCAGGGTATCGAAGAAGAATCAAATTAATCCGTAGAACGGGATAGTTTGAAGATCAATGCTTGATCTCTCAAGTAAAATTATGCCTGCAGTGCGTGTCCTACATGCACCATGGACTAACTAGGGCGAGTTGCATTCGGTTTCTTCTATTTTAATTCAATCACATTTTGAACTGAACACATTTTTTTCAGAAAGTATATGCCCACAAAAAAGTATGTAAGAAAACAGGCGAAAAATGTATGTTTAAAAGGTCAGATTGTGATCGAAAGTCAAAATAATCAAATTAATCCGTGGAACTGGAGATCAATATGGTTATTGCTTGATTCACAGAAATTTGATTGGAGAGATTGATTCATAAATTCTTTATTTCAGGAAATACTTGATAGCCTAACTACTGACACAGTCATTATAAAGATAGATGTAGAAGGATCAGAGTGTGTGGTAATTTCATTTTTGACATTAATCCTATTCACGCAGGGAGATGGGGTTCCGGGGACCCCTCCCCTCACGTTTTTTGAAGATAACTCAAAATGCATTCATCTGAGGCTGTTTAGATTTTTTAACTTTTCTAACTATCACATGCCCCTCACTTGAAGCAGGGCTTTTACACAAACTGCCTGAGTCCTCAGGCATAATCGACTTAATCTATATTCAGACCAACTTTAGGACATTGGATTTCGACTTTTGATCGCTCTTTGGAAAGCCTTGAACAAAAGGAAGCAGATTGCATATTTTTTGCGAAAAAATTTTGCATCAGTGATTTTAAAATGAATTTGCACATTTTCAGTTTTTCTTGAATTCAAATTTATTTTTAGAAAATTTTGCAAATATTTTTTCATATTTGATTTTGCAGTGACGAGGGCTTTTAAAAAATGTATAATCATATTTCGTGCACATTTTAAATATTTGAAATTTAGCAAATTTGCAAACTTATTTTGCAGATTATTAAAGTGGAGCCTAGAGGCTTTCCAAAAATGTATCAACTGTTATAGATTTGTATCACAATAAGGAAATAGAGGCGGGGGAACCTGGGACCACTGCCCCAGACTATTTTAGGTTAACCAAACGTCAGCCTGAATTAGGTTAAAAGTCAACCTACTCATTCTCAATTTGGATCCTTAAAACTTTGAACATTTGCAAACTTTTTTGCAGACTATTTAAGTGCAGCCCGAGGGCTTTCCAAAAATGTATCAAATGTTATAGATTTGTATCATATTTAGGAAAGACAGAAGGGAGTCCCTGGGACCCCCCCCCCCAGGGTAAACAGACGTCAGCCTGAATAGGGTTAATGGTAGTGTTTGCTAAAAAAAGGGGTCACAGTCGGTATACTTAGAATTATAAGAAAAAGAATATTTTTATTCTTGTAGTTTCTGGCCAAAATAACGGCGAGCCAAAACTTGTAAAAACTGTGGAATATGAAGAGTACACAGTTAAGCAATCTTATGTGTATTTTGTGTTGTTATAGAGCACTATACTGCACTTTTCCTCTGTTTTATTTTCATTTAACTTTTTAAATAAAGACTTAAGTCTAACAGTCGTCTTACATAGCCAGTTTTTTGTCTCTCACTACATAATATTCATAGATAAATACTAATAAGGTTTATTTGCAGGCTCTTACACCTTATTTGACGCAGTCTGAAAAGGAATTTTACGCAACAACAAACTATAAACTATAAACTATAAAAACTAAAAACAATGATATGACCCCCCCCCCCCCCCGACACCACCCCTTTCCCCCTCCTTTTCCCCGCACCAAACTTTAAAATATTTAAACGCTAAAATAACCAGAACATTTGGAATGCAGTGAGAAACAGAAAACTATGGAATGAATGTTGTATTTGTTTCTCCTTCAACTTCAGAAATTATTTTATAACTTTCAACTTATGTCTCAAAAACATGTTTTATAATTGGTTCATTTGCAAATTAGGAAATTCTCCCCGACATTTTATAATATAAAGATGAGACAACAAGATTTCTACTGTGTTCTGATTCTCACTGTACATTTAGTAATTAGTTGTATTTAATATTTTAATATATTGGGTCTCTAATTAATTGATTCAGAATTGTTGAAAAAATGTGTGAAATTAGAAAAAAAATATTCCATACTTTTTAATGGAATGGACATACATCTTTCAAAATATTGATGACTGCTGTCCAGGAATCAATATTCTAATCAAGGTAGGATTTGTGGAAATAACATATCAAAAAGATTATTTTCGCTTAGTTTTTATCATTTTTTTTACATGGTAGTCGTCTATCAAAAATATGTGTTTAAAACTAGATAAAAATTCTTTAAAAAAATGCAAAATATCAGCAAACATTTTCATGGACAATTTGAAATAAAAGCAAAATTGAAATTGCTTGATGATACCTCAAAGGGAAGTGACCTTCCGTGCAAAGATGGCATTGTCCAATTTACAACGGTGCCATCGAAACCTTTAACTGATCTATTTAATTCTGATCATTCATACATATTTTATTACAGTAGAAATGCGCATGTCTTTTTTGTTTTATATTTAGTTTTCGAAATTATAAACATTGATATCTATAACTAATCTTGATCAGAAAAACCTTTAAAGGTACTGTGTTGTGATTAGAGCACTGTCCTCTTATTAATATTTTAATGATTTGAGTTTTTTTTACCACAGAGTGTCTTCAGATTTGAAAACGTCCGAAGTAATTTTCTATCAAAATTTTATCGTTTTACTGAAGAATGACTTACATTACTTTAAATTTCAAAAAGTTTAATGAAAAGTGATATTGACCACAAAACCTTTCCCTTTGTTTTGAAAATATAATATTTGTAATTTTACTCTATACTTTACAGTGAAGCCCAGATATATGAATAGATAGCAAGAGTTTTTTTAAATGTCATATTATATATTTTAGATCAAATGCCGCGGAAAAATGAGTTTAATATAGATACATTAATTGCATTCATATTTTAGGACTATTAATTTACCTTGAATTAAAAATAAAAAGAAGTTTCTTTAGAATTATCAAAAACGTATATCTTATATATCTGGGATTTACTTTAGTATATGAGTAGATATTGTAGCGACTCTATATTTGATAGAATCAGTAAACGTACCGTACATGTAAATTGAATTCTAGCAATACAAAGTTATTTTATCTAACGTGGAAATTACAGATATAATTCAGTTTGGATTCAAATCTGGAAGACAACAATGTTGATCCTTTACAATATTAGTATTGTATTGTAGTATTTTGTAATTTTCAGTTTATTGCTTATCCAGGAATGTCTGACTAAACAACTAATTGAAAGTCAGGCCTTCAAACACTTATTCCTCAAAATTTTCTGTTAGATGTGAAATGGAGATATTTTCTTACTGGTTGGAAAAATAAAATTCACTGCTAAGCGAAGTTTGAAAATTCTGAGAATATCCATTGTAAGAATTCCCCCTTAATAATAACAAATGGTATAAGAAAGATTAGGAAAGAAGCGGAAATTTTTGACAAAAGAATTCTTGATTCTTGTAAGTTCATCTCGGACAGTGCTTCAGAATACGGCCTTGTCTACATCTTTTCCTGGCAGCCAGCAGAGTATAAACTGGTATCATAGGGCATGGTGCACAAAGCACTATAGTATATTGAATTTTGCACACTAGAAATTTACAAGCTTTCTTCAGTAAATCTTTAAAAGGAGGAGTAAAAAGAGGAGTAATGTTTAAAGAATGGAAGATTTCTATATAACACAAAATTTACCTTAATTTGACTTAAACTACTGTAGTCAAGGTTTAATATTAATACAATGAAGACGATTTTTGATTTCAATATGAAACAACATTTTTTTCAAAGTATGCAAGCTTACAAGTAAACAAAAAGAAGCTTCTCTTTGTTTAATGTTTTTGTGTGTCCCTGCTGCTTGAAAGCTTAGCTTAACGTTTGATAAATGATATATGCATGTTGTTATGAGGGCTGAGTTTTAATTTTAAAAGTGTAACAATAATTCTCCTAATCAAAACGTTTCAAAGCATCTTTCATCTATTAATGTAAGATATGACTGATGAATGAGACAGCTAGGACTAATGGTTTTTCATTTTTTTAATGCGTGTAAAGGATTATTTTTCTTTAAATTAAAGAAATAGATTATTTGGGAATTTATATTTCAATCCTGTTTTTTGAAATAATAGGGTTTACATATTTTTTTTTGTATTTTGGGAAACTTTCCCTTTTCCCACCTTTTCTTAGTAGAAGTTTGTTTTTATCAAACAGAAAAATTTTTTATCCTATGTGAAAATATAAGGCACAAATGAACCGAAAACTATCTTTTTAAAAACCCAAAAACAATCCTTTTAACCCTATCTCTGCTGGGGTACTTGAAAATCAGGATACGCTGTTACATTACTTTAAATTTCAAAAAGTTTAATGAAAAGTGATATTGACCACAAAACCTTTCCCTTTGTTTTGAAAATATAATATTTGTAATTTTACTTGTAATATATAAATATATATTTCTATGAATATTGAGATGCAAAAATATCAAATATTTTATTGCACTACCCAGTAAGCACTAAACCAATTCTGGTCTTCCTTGCCATTAGGAAACAAAAGCCAAGTGAATGGTCTCTCCTTACAGTCTATCTTTTTTTGTATTAAACAAACATCGATTAAAATATGGTCAGTTGACAATTATGAATACATTATAAACAATACTTTGGGAGAGTGCTAAACAAATATGAAAATGTTACCTAAATTACTGGGATCTGGATAACTCTAAAGTGTTACCGTAGCATACCGTACATTTTATTATTAAGATTTCAGCTCTAAAAACTATTTTCACTTTAATTCTGTCAATTAGTTCGAAATTCATCAGTTTAGAAATGCAGGTTTAAAGAAGGTAGCTTAACTAAAACCAGGTTGAGCATTAAAGGGACTGCCAGCCTAATTTCAAGTGACCCTCAATGCAAAGATGGCAATGCACGATTCACAACAGTACTCTTGAAAACTATTCAATCATGTTTAAGATAATAGCCGTTTTTCAAGGCTCAAAAGCTTTTAACTCTGAAAATTCCTACACTGTAAATATAAACCAGCAACGTTTTTTAAAATTTGTTTCTTAATTTAATTTTTTTAGTATAATATTCAAATAATATTCAAAAATTATGTTTATTTGAAAACTAAAAATATTTTTTCCTTTAATTAAGTTTTTTGTAAAAGATATGTTTTTTCAACAAATGAAAGTTGAAAAATTACAAAAATATTGTAAAATAATATTCATTCATTGTTGATTAAAAATTAACTTATTTTAACATTGATTTGTAATTTTTTTTAGTACAAAAAAATTCTATTCTGATGTGAAATGAAATAAATCAAAATTTTAGTTTAGGAGTTACCCGGGTGGACCAAAGTCGCAAATTTTAGAGACTATTTGTGACTAGTAGTCAGTTTTGTACATTGTTGTACATTTTTGTACATTGTTGTACATTTTTGTACATTGTTGTACATTGTTTTACATTGGTGTACATTGTTGTAAATGTTTATAAATTGGTGTACATTGTTGCACATTGTTGTACATTGTTGTACATTTTTGTACATTGTTGTACATTTTTGTACATTGTTGTACATTGTTTTACATTGTTGTACATTGTTGTAAATGTTTATAAATTGGTGTACATTGTTGCACATTGTTGCACATTGTTGTACATTGTTGTAATTTGTTGTAAATTGCTGTACATTAGATTGTTGTACATTGTTGTACATTGTTGTATATTGTTGTACATTGTTGTACATTGTTGTAAATTTTATACATTTTTGTAAGTTGTTGTACATTGCTGTACATTACATTGTTGTACATTGTTGTACATTGTTGTTCATTGTTGTACATTGTTGTAAATTTGTTTACATTGTTGTACATGGAAAACTGTTCTTACCTTGTATAAATATTCATATATATTTATCAGGATGGGATAAATGAGGATAAAAAATCAAAAATTCTTAGAACTTCGCAAATAAAAAAAATTATGGCGGGCTAAGAGCTTTTAAATAAAATAGATAAAAAAGTCACTTGTAAGGCCGTAAAAACTCGTATTTTTGGCCATAAATTAAATAGCTTGATAATTATGAGTAAATAATAATGTGGACAGTGTTCAGCGGCTTGAGATTCATCTTTTGATATCTATATCGAAATATTTTGAAGCATTTTTTATCGTTCATTCCAGTGTTTTTTGTTCCATCACATATTTCCAGAAAATAGTTCTCATTTCGTCATTTTCAGATATCATATTTTGGAAATCCATTTCCAGTATTTCTACTACAGTGATAACCAGAAAACTTTGGAATAGGAAGTCGACTTTTAGATTTAATTTTTTACTTTAAATAGTCCAATGAAAATGAGGCACAGCAATTGTGCAGTGTAAATAGACCCAATTCACTTAATAAGTGTTTTAATAACTTTCTACTAAAGCTATCTGCTTTATAATAGCATTAAATGCTCTTTAGCATTAATGTCGTCTTTTTAGTCTACAATTTTCTGGTTGTCACTGTATATTACAATCAGCTAATTTAGAAATAAATGTATGTTATGCTCATTGCTTCTTTAATGACAAAATTAAGCGAAAATATAAAAATTCAAAAAAAAGATTATTTTTAAACGTTAGGTTTTTTACAAACGCGTATATCGACATTTTACCTAATTTGAAATCATTTGGAACAAAAGTTTTAATTTCAAAATAATATGCCTCTAATTAAGAATGAGCACGTTTCTTTTTGGTTCTGAGGAAAATGTTCGGTATCTTGTAAACACTATAAGGTAAAGAGAAAAGAATTTAATTTTTTTTATTGCTAGAAGAAAAAAATTAAAAAGATCACATAAAACTTTGTTGATTTTCAACCTTTATTAAGGTGTATCTCCCCCCACCCCTCATTCCAAAAAAAGAGATATTCTACAAGAACCTATATTTAAAAGAAATACCATCCATTCTTTTCAGTGATGGAAAAGAGGCTCTTTACCCTTTTTACAGATTTCCGGGAAATGAAGGTAAGATATAGAATAAAGTTTAAATATTCTATTTTTAAAGTAACTGATTATTTGACACAAAATCAAATTCAAAGGGACCGTTCACTTATTTGGGTAATTTGAGGGTAATCTAAATAGCCATATTAGCTATTAAATGGTATTAGTCTTACTTATCTGTGGCCAGAGAAAAAGAATATTTTCCGTTCAGAATTCCAGCGCATAAACACTATTTGATGATTTTTGTCAAATTCATGAATTTTTAGACGTTTTAAATATAAAATTAGTAGTATACAATGCAGTAATAACCAGAAAACTTTGGAGTAGGAAGACCCATTTAGTGATTTAATAAGGGTCAAGCTAAACTATAATTTGCTCTGTAGCAACATGAAATACACTTAAGTATTGCTATATGTCGTCTTCCTATTCCATTGTTGTCTGGTTATAACTGTAGTCCACGGACCATCCAATGGCGGCTCCCGGGAAAATTTGGGAGACATCCCCCCCCCCCTAGAAAATTAGGAGCGCAAGAAAAAAAGCCAGGCACCTTCTAGCCCTTTAATTTTTATTTTTAATTAAAGAAAAAGTGGAGCCAAAATTTTGCCCGCGGCTCCACTTTTTCACCCTAGATGAATATTTATCATAAAAAACTCCAAATCTTGCCAATACATTTTCAACCTTTCAGCCCAAGCTGCTCATCACGTGGATTTAACGGTTATGCAATATTTCAGAAAGCTGTGACTTCCGATCACAATTTGACCCCTTATACATAACTTTATAGCATTTTTTCTTAAATAACTTTTTTTTGGTATATACATTTTGAATGAAAAGTATAAATTAAACAAATCTGTAAGTTTAAAGATTGTTGAAATATAGACGAAAGCACGTTTGATTTCAAATAAAAGAAACAGGATGCTTCTCTTTGTGGTTAGTTCAGTTAGTCATGGTTCTGACATGATTCATTGTAAATAGCAATTAGCGTTCCGTTCCGTTCCGTTCTTTTACTAAACGTTCCAATATTTTTAAGAACTCGTTCTAAGAGTTCGTTTTATTCAGAACGATGGGATCATTCTTGATCGCTCCGTTTGTTCCTGGGAAAGAACGATCGTTCCACCAGGAACGCGCCCAGCACTAGCGGAAACGTCTTGTGTGTGTGTCTGTACCAAAAGAGTGTGTGTAAAGTTTATCGAACCAAATGTGTGTACTGTAGGTATATACTATAGAGATGTCAACGTTTTGATTTTTCTAGATTTTAACTTTAGTTACGATAGTGTTAATCAAAAGTATAAACGTTTATGTTAATCCATCATTTGGGCTCGCGGATAAATCCCTCTTTGAAAATGAGTCTTGTATTCTCAAAATTTAGTCTTTTTTGATGAATCTTTGCAACTTTTTCGCAAAAATTTTGCATTTGTTTTAAAAATTGTTTTTCGCGAAATTTTTTGTTTTTTTAGCATAATTTCCATTTTTTCCGCAAATGCGAAAATGGAGCGAAATGGTCATGAAAACAATTTTTTGCGAAAATATTTTTCCTTTTCGCTAAAAACCCTATTAATACCTGTTAAGTTTAGAAATGTCGTCTTATGCGCAATCTATCTTTTTCTATTTAATTGTTACTGAATAAAACGCGTAGATAGTGTTTGTGCAAAGGAATCATATGGCATACTTTTGCACTGGAATTCTAGGCGATAAATCGGCTATTTCTCTGGCCATAGATATCTTTGAAAAGTAATACTGTTATCAATAAACAGCTACTAAGCTATTCAGTTTACCTGGAAATTAACCAAAATTAGTGAACGGTCCCTTTAATGATCCTTATATCTCTGCAACTTGATGTCCTAAACATCATATATTTCAAACTTTGAATTCTGCTAGATCGAATTCATAGACCAAATTATTTTAATTCTCTCACTTCAAAATTGTTAGAACATTCATGGCTGGCTCCTATTTTCTTAATATCTCCTTTGCCCAAGCTATTTGTAATATTAGTCGCAGAAAAAAAAACATTTGTTGAAGAGAGAATAGAGACATATACGATTTCAAATATAGAGACAATTCTTTAAAATGTTATTCTTGATTTGGGTCTTATTTAGCAAACTAATATATTTGATTTTTTTAGGTGGTATTTCCTTCATTAATCAGGAAACAGCTAAAACTAAACCGGTAATATTTTAGTGCTTTTAAATTAGTAAAATTTGATGCATATTATTTTTTTATTTTTTTATTTAGGCGAATCTGATTGGAGAACCAGTATATCCGGTTACACTCAAGGTAATAAAACTAGGACTGGGCAACGTTTCGTTAGAAAATTGAAGCTTTGAAAATATTCCGTTGATAAACGAAAAGAAAGACTGGATGATGCTCCGATAGTGAAAGGTAGTGTTCGAAAATAAGCGGCAAATTTAGTTAATGTAAGAAGTTTTTTATATTTAACAAGTGAAAAGAATTATGTTACTGAGAAATGTTCTTTTAAAAAACTGAAGTTTTTAAAATCAACGATTGTCGAACGGACAAAACCAGGACCAAGAAAAATTACGTTGGCGAACAGATATTTAAAAATTCAAAATAACAAAAGTTTTTGAAAATAAAGAAAAATTCCGTTAATGAACAAAAATGACTGGAAGCGGTAGGGCGCTTTTAGTTCAAAACAATGGTTTCTAGATCTTAATTTGTTACTTTATGCCTCAAAGACCAAATTAAATTTTCTCAAGGCATTTTCATTTTTTATCTTTTTTGGAAGTTTAAGAAGTGTCTTAAACAAAAATGGTTATTAAATTTTCAAGCGAATTTGAACAATAAGTTAAGTTTTGTGTGAAGGATAAATGCCTGATCCCTCAATTGCACCGTTGCACGTATCCCTGCAGGGTATCGGAGAAGAATCTAATTAATCCGTAACACGGGATAATTTGGAGATCAATGCTTGATCCCTCAAGTAAAGTTATGCCTGCAGAGCATGACCTAGATGCACCACGGACTAACTAGGGCGAGTTGCATTCGGTTTCTTCTATTTCAATTAAATCACGTCTTGAACTGAATACATTTTTATTCAGAAAGTGTATGCCTACAAAAAAGTATATAAGAAAACAGGCGAAAAATGTATGTTTAATTGGTCAAATTGTGATCAAAAGTCAAAGCGTGCCAGGATAAGGACCGAACTGTTAAATCTGTGTGCACGGGATTTTCATGAAGAATGAAATTAATCCGTAGAACTGGATAATATGGAGATCAATGCTTATTGCATAATCTCAAGATTCACAGATATTTAATTGTAGAGATTGTTTCATAAATTCTTTATTTCAGGAAATACTTGATAGCATAACTACTGACACCGTGATTATAAAGATAGATGTAGAAGGATCGGAGTGTGTGGTAATTTCATTTTTGACCTTAATCCTATTCAGGCTGAGGGATGGGGTTCCTGGGACCCCTCCCCTGGCGTTTTTTGGAGATAACTTCAAAAGCATTGGTCTGAGGCTGTTCAAATTTTTTTACTTTTCTAACTATCAAATGTCCTCCACTTTAGGCTTGAAGCGGGGCTTTTATACAAACTACCTGAGTCCTCTGGCATACTGCCTGAATGTCTTATTTTACTTTTACCCAACTAAATTCATATTTAGACCAACTTCAGGACATTGGATTTCGACTTTTGATAGCTCTTTGGAAAGCCTTGAACATAAGGAAGCAGATTGCACAATGTTTGCGAAGAAATTTTGCATCAGATGCATTTAAAGAGAATTTGCACATTTTGCCGTGGCAAGGGCTTTTCAAAAATGTATAATTTATCATATTTCGCACACATTTTAAATATTTGAAATTTAACATATTTGAAAAAAAAATTTCCAGATTTTAAAGTGGAGCCTAGGGGCTTTCAAAAAATGTATCAAATGTTATAGATTTGTATCACAATAAGGAAATAGAGGGGGGGATCCCTGGGACCGCTGCCCCAGACCATTTTAGGTAACCAGACGTCAGCCTGAATAAGTTGAAAGTCAACCTAATCATTCTCAATTTGGATCCTTGAAATTTTGCAAATTTGCAAATTTTTTTGCCAGCTATTTAAGTGGAGTTAGAATTATATGAAAAAGAATATTTATATTCTTGTAATTTCTGGCCAAAACAACGGCGAGCCAAAACTTGTAAAAACTGTGAAATATGAAGACTACGCATTTCAGCAATCTTATATGTATTTTGTGTTGTTATAGAACAATATACTGCACTTTTGCTCTGTTTTATTTTCATTTAACTTTTTTTAATAAAAACTTAAGTCTAACGGTCGTCTTACATAGCCAGTTTTTTGTTTCTCACTGCATAATATTTAAATATAAATACTAATAACGTGTATTTGCAGGCTCTTACACCTTATTTGACACAGCCTATAAAGGAATTTTGCACAACAAATAAATTTAAAACTAAAAACAATGATATGAGCGGCCCCCCCCCCCCAACCGAACACCACCCTTCTTCCCCCCTTCCCTGTACCAAACTTTAAAATGTTTAAACGCTAAAATAACCAAAACATATAGAATGCATGGAGAACCAGAAAACTATGGAATGAATGTCGTATTTGTTTCTTCTTCAACTTAAGAAATTATTTTATAATTTTCAACTTATTTCTCAAAAACTTTTTTAGAAATGGTTTATTTGCAAATTAGGAGATTTTCCGCGGTATTTTATATTATAATAAGGAGACAACGAGATTTCTACTGTTTTCTGATTCTCACTGTACATTTAGTAATTAGTTGTATTTAATATTTTAATGGATTGGGACTCTCATTAATTGATCCAGAATTATTGAAAAAATGTGTGAAATTAGAAAAAAAATATTCCATACTTTTTGATGGAATGGACATACATCTTTCAAAATATTGATGACTGTTGTCCTGGAATCAGTACTCTAATCAAGGTAGGATTTGTGGAAATAAAAATATCAAAAAGATAATTTTCGCTTCGTTTTTATCTGTTTTTTTTATGGTAGTCGACTATCAAAAATATGTATTTAAAACTAAATGAAAATTCTTTTAAAAAATGCAAAATATCAGCATGCAATTTCATGGAAATATTAAAATAAAGGCAAAATGAAGGGAAGTGACCTTCCGTGCAAAGATGACATTGCCCAATTTACAACGAGGCCCTCGAAACCTTTAACTGATCAATAATGTTTTTCTAGGTTTAATTCTGATAATTCATACATGTTTTATTATAGTACAAATGCGCGCAAGTCTTTTTTGTTTTGGTTTTCGAAATTATAAACATTGACCGTTGTGATTAGAGCACTGTCATCTTTGCATGATGGGTCACTTAAAATTTTATTAATTTTTAATATTTTTATTTTATTTTAATGAGTATCTTCAGATCAGAAAACGTTTGAAGTAATTTTCTATTGAAATTTTATCATTTTATCTTTTTACTGAATACTTAATTACAAGTTACATAACTTTATATTTCAAAAGGTTTAATGAAAAGTGATATTTACCACAAAACCTTATTTCTCTTTTTTTAAAAATATAATATTCGTAATTTTGCTTATTCATACAGGGTGTCCCAATAAACATGGGAATTCAGCTGTAATCTGTAAGAGTTTCGTCTGCTATGTTCACAATTTGTTTGTTTATGTTTTGACTGCATACGGTTTGACTTAGTAAAAGAAGAAAATTGCAGTATACAAACAGAGTAAACTTGTCCGTCTTCACTGTTCATCTTGCGGAGACATTATAGACACATCTTTACAGTCTTTTGCCCTTTTCATAAGATAAACTCTAGCAGACATAATAATATTAGGGCTTTAGAATTAGGTATTACAATGCTAATTAATAATAAAGACGATATCGAATTCGTCTCTGAATTCCCATGTTTTTTGGGACACCCTGTAGGATAGCTAAACTAAAGGGGGAGAAGCTATTAGTAAGCAGAATAGCTATATATCACTAGCTATTATGGTATAATCTATATAGGATAGCTAAACTGAAGGGAGGAGAAGCTAGTAGTACAGAATAGCTTCACATCTCTAGCTACTAGCTATTATGGTAAAATATATAGGAAAGCTAAACTAAAGGGGAGAGAAGCTATTAGTAAACAGAATAGCTATATATCTCTAGCTACTAGCTATCATGGTTTAATATATATAGGATAGCTAAACTGAAGGGAGGAGAAGCTAGTAGTAGTATACAGAATAGCTTCACATCTCTAGCTACTAGCTATTATGGTATAATATATAGGAACGCTAAACTAAAGGGGAGAGAAGCTATTAGTAAACAGAATAGCTATATATCTTTAGCTACTAGCTATTATGGTATAATATATATAGGATAGCTAAACTGAAGGGAGGAGAAGCTAGTAGTAGTATACAGAATAGCTTCACATCTCTAGCTTCTGTTCATCACGTAAACGCTGTTGTTGGTATTTCAGTAAAGTGATATTTACCACAAAACCTTATTTCTCTTTTTTTAAAAATATAATATTCGTAATTTTGCTTATTCATACAGGGTGTCCCAATAAACATGGGAATTCAGCTGTAATCTGTAAAAGTTTCGTCTGCTATGTTCACAATTTGTTTGTTTATGTTTTGACTGCATACTTAGTAAAACAAGAAAATTGCAGTATACAAACAGAGTAAACTTGTTCGTCTTCACTGTTCATCTTGCAGAGACATTATAGGCACATATTTACAGTCTTTTACTCTTTTCATAAAATAAACTCTAGCAGACATAATAATATTATGGCTTTTGAAATTAGGTATTACAATGTTAATTCATAACAAAGACGATATCCAATTTATCACTGATTTCCCATGTTTTTTGGGACACCCTGTATGATATCCCTAGGGTTTCCTTGATTCTGGATACTATGCTGTCGAAGTTACAACTCTCCAAAGAGTAAAGTAAAAATCTTATTATTTCTTGTAAAGAAAAAAAACTTAGCAAAATTCTTTCAATGTGTGGCCATAACATTTAAAATGAAATAATTCAATTTTTTTGAGAGTGTTATATTCCAACTACTAATTTATGATTTATAATCAACCTGTATTATGTTTTAGTATGACGGAACCACAAAATTGGGACAATATACTTTGGGTTCATAATGAAGCATTTAGGCAGTTCTAATACTTTAGTCCAATATTATAAATTTTCCTGTTATATAATTATCTGTTTTGTTTCAAGTATCATTTGTTATCTAGAGAAGAATAAAATGCTCTTTATCTTGGCATGAACCTCACTTCAATTTAGACCAAAGGGAAATATCAAATTTGTGTGACGTAACTGGTAAGTGTTGTCTTTATCTCAGTGGGCATAAACCTTTGATAATATGGAACCAAGCTCATATTAATCAGAATATTCAAGAAATTGATTTTACTTATTAAAATACGATAAATGGGATCACTCATTGCTCCACAATAGATCACTTTATTTCAAATGAAACCTTTTATAATTCTACAACAGAGGCTGGTAAAGTAAATTGTCCTAACAATACGGCAAACCATCTTCCAATATTCTGTAAATTCAATGTAGACAATCTAAATCGTAGTTTTATAAAGTTTTATAAGCGAGATACCTGTTTCAAAACCAAGTTGGAAAAATGCAAATGAAGTTGAAAAAAACTGAATTTAAAATCTATCTTGATATTAAACTTCAAGAAATTAACAATCCCTTGAACTGTGAAAATTATAAATCAATACATTGCAGTTTACATTCTGATGAGATGTGCCTATACAACCAATAGTAATCAAGCATATGATTATAGATGTCTATTTAATAGTCAAGCATATTGAGATATGATTATATGTGTCTACTTAACCAATAATAGTCAAACATATATAGTTATGATATGTGTCTATTTAACCAATAATAGTCAAGCATATTGAGATATGATTAAATGTGTCTTTTTAACCAATAATAATCAAGCATATATAGTTATGATTATATGTGTCTACTTAACCAATAATAGTCAATCATATATAGTTATGATTATATGTGTCTATTTAACCAATAAGAGTCAAGCATATTGAGATATGGTTATATGTGTCTATTTCACCAATAATAGTCAAGCATATATAGTTATGATATGTGTCTATTTAACCAATAAGAGTCAAGCATATTGAGATATGATTATATGTGTCTATTTCACCAATAATAGTCAAGCATATATAATTATGATTATATGTGTCTATTTAACCAATAATAGTCAAGCATATATAGTTATGATTATATTTGTCTATTTAACCAATAATAGTCAAGCATATTGAGATATGATTATATGTTTCTATTTAACCAATAANGGGCAGCCGTAGTACATTTGAATTTCCGAGCCGGGTCAACGTTTCCGGTCCCAGTTTGTACTGTATCGCCCGGACATTGGGTAAATAAAGCCGACACTCAATAGGACTAGCCGGTGCAACAAGATTAACACGACAAGACTTTAGGTTGTCTTTACTTTTACTGAAGGGTCAGAGTTGCGTGATAAATATAAAAAATATATAAAAAATAAAAATGATACATATGTGTGTCTATTTAAAAACGACTTTCAATCACGACTCGCAATTATTTGTTGGGACACCCTGTATTTTGTACAGATTACACCTCTACCATTGTATGTACCCTGTACTTTGTACAGACTACAGCTCTACCATTGTATGTACCCTGTACTTTGTACAGACTACACCTCTACCATTGTATGTACCCTGTTCTTTGTTCAGACTACACCTCTACCATTGTATGTACCCTGTATTTTGTACAGACTACACCTCTACCATTGTATGTACCTTGTACTTTGTAAGACTACACCTCTACCATTGTATGTACCCTGTACTTTGTACAGACTACACCTCTACCAATATATGCACCTTGTACTTTGTAAGACTACACCTGTACCAATGTATGTACCTTGTAGTTTGTACAGACTACACCTCTACCAATGTATGTACCCTGTACAGACTACACTCTAAATTAATAAGTCGTAATTAAGCGATAAGAAGTCGCCTAATCGGGTGAAAAAGTTGGATGGCACCCGATTAGACGACAAAAATCGCTTATTTTAAAATAAAAGTAGCTTTGTTTCAACAAAAAAGCTCTTATATTGCAGAAGTTGGTAACTGCCAAATAAGCGAATCGAAATCGTTTATTCTCAACAAAAAATCTCTTATTTTTAACACAAAAGACGCTCATTTTTAACGAAATCGCCTATTTTAAAAAAAATCGTTTTAATTTAACCAAAAAATCTCTTATATTCAACAAAAAGCTTATTTTTAACAAAAAATTTGTTTATATTTAACAAAAAATCAGTTATTTTTACAAAATGTTTATTTAAAAATTTGAAAGATATTAATGATGTGAATCCAGTCCTAAAGCATAACTAGTCAATTTTTTAATAATATTGATACGGATATCTTTGTTACACTCTTTAAACGTTCTTAGCACAAATTATCTAAACCATATATCTTAGCAAACTAAGGATGAAACCTTTGATATCTCGGCTTACAGTTATTGATCTAACAGAATTCATTGTGTGAAATACAGTGCTTAGGATCCATTTAATATTGATGCGGATCCGGATCCGTATCCAGATCCAGGATATTTCTATAAGATTTACTGAATCTTTTTAACAAAAAATAATTTTCGAATTTTTTGTTTTATTTTTTTCGCATATTGTTATTTACTTGATCAACCATATGATGAAAATTTTATAATCTCTTTTTTTCAAAAGTTCAGATTTTGGTTTTAGGAGTAAAAAAGGTTTTTTTGCAGTTTTTGGTTGATAATTTACCCCTTGAATCCGGATCCGTGGATCCGCATATTTTTGCGGATCCGGATCCAGGAAGCCAAAATCTTGCGGATTCAACAGATCCGGATCCTAAGCACTAGTGAAATATCTTAAGTCTACGACATGGGATTGCAAAAATATAGGGTTTAGAAAATCAGAGTTTGTGATAAAACCTCGGTTTCATTTTTAAGTGTCTTGTCAGAATGAAAAGGAAAAATAAATCCTTATAAATGTTATCAATTCAGTGCTTAGGATCCGGATGCGGATCCGTTGAATTCGCAAGATTTTGGCTTCCTGGATCCGGCTCCAGATTCGCAAAAATATGTGTATCCATGCGGATCCGGATCCAAGGGGTAAAATATCAACCAAAACCTGCAAAAAACTACTTTTTTACTCCTAAAACCCAAATCTGAACTATTGAAAAAAAGAGATTATAAAAATTTCCTGATTTCTTAATGGGTCATCAAGTTTAAGCATAAAAATAAGCGAAAAAAATAAGATAAAAACTTAGAAATTCTGCTTCCGTAAAAAATTCAGTAAGTCTTTAAGAAATGACTGGGATCCGGATCGATTTTTTTCCAGTGCGGATCTAGAATCCGGATCGTCATGAAAATTAAATGGATCCTTAACACAAATATTCTATGATAACCAGTGCTTAGGATCCATTTAATTTTGATGCGGATCTGCACTGGAAAGAAATGGATCCGTATCCAAATCCGGATTCGGATCCGGATCCAGGTCATTTCTTTAAGATTTAATGAATTTTTTTAACAAAAAATAATTTTCAAATTTTTTGTTTTATTTTTTTCGCTTATTTTTATCCCAAAACTATAGCCTGTCTTAGCCGCAGTGCTCGGCCCAGAAATTGTCTTTACCGAACCTAAATCAAATCAAATCAATCCTAACCTAACTTAACCATAAAATAAGAAAAAAAAAAAAAAAAATAATAATTTTGCTGAAATCATGTACAAAATATCACATATCGGCAACAATGCTTTTGTTTCCGGATCAGGAAACGCATTTTCACAGTAAATAAGACGGGGGGGGGGGGAAAGTTTAAGAAATCCTTACCTACACGAGAACTCATTTAGTATGGTTAAGGATAAGCCCCCCACCCTCAGGAAAAAATTCCCCCGATCCTGAGCTTCTCAATCGTTTCATCCAATAGTTCCGACATAATATGTTGCTTGATTTTTGATTTGAAGATTTGTTTTTTCAATATGAACTGTTTAGCAATCTATTTGGAACGTTTAACAAATAATTTGAAAAATAGAACAAATCTGTAAACTTTAAATCTTGATTTCCCGCTGATGACAGCTTCTATTTTTTCTAACATTCACATAGATTACAATTTGTCGCAATTAGAAATGAACAGGTTATCTAACTAAATGTAAAATGAGAGACGGTATTGAGCAAGAATGCTAACTATCAGGTGATTCATATACTGGTTTGAGTTTTTGACTACCTGCCTAAAAATATACGATTTTAAATCGCTTATTAGGCGACTTTCAGTCGTCTTAAATGAAGTTATTTTTAATTCAAAAATAACGATTTAAAATCGTTTAAAATGCAACTAAAAATCGTTTAATTAACGACTTTTTGTCCTTAATTTCGAATTTGGGTTTATAGACGATTTAAAAATGCAAATTAGGCTACTTTTAGTCGTCGATTATGAAGTTTTATTTACTTCACAAATAACGATTTGAAATCGTTTTAAATGCAACCACAAATCGTTTATTAAGCGACTTTTTGTCCTTAATTTCACTATTTTGAGATTTAATTAAGAGTGTACACCTCTACCAATGTATGTGTAATTTTCCATTTCTCACAATTTCCCGCATTTCTTCGCATGATAAATTAAGTTCACGACAAATGAACTGAATCGAAATGAAATCAGGCTGTTAGGGAACCCTGCTATCAACTCTCCAGACTCGAAATGAATTTACTAGTTCACGAATGAAGTAAGATTTAATATATTGAAAAAAAAAATAAAAAGTATGGTCTTAAATTGATAATTTTTATCTTAATCATTAGCGGAAATCCGTCGTTATTGCCAGACTACCAGAAAGATTTTAACCATGATATACTAGTTACTAGTGCGCAACTAGTATGGAGTTCTTTTTTGCATCGTTAGCGTTCGTTAGAGTTTACAAGAATTTAATAATTTAAATAAATGCAATAAAAAATTTATATTTTTAATTAAATTTATGAAACAATGTCTATATTACGGTTGAGGAGATGGGATCTATCCATGGGTTGAATAACCTCACCCATCTTTGTTACTACCTTCGGCTTGACTAACTTCAAGAAGGCAGTCCTGGAACAGATAGACAGATAAATAGATAGATGGATGGATCAATAGATACAATTGTTTAGAACAGTGATAACCAAAAACCCTGAAAGACGACTTTATTGAAAAACTTAACCATATCCTGACAGGGCTATTTTAGTCTAATTTAGGCTGGGGGGACGGGGGATTCCCCCCCCCCCTCCGTATGATTTTTCCCTTAGTGTTGAGATAGGGAAGTGTGATACATGTTCTTAGTCCAACTTTTCAATGCCTGCTCAATAAAAAAAATGAAACCTCTAACTTTAATGGTGAGGGTGATCCCCCCCTAAAAATTGAACAAAAAGCAGAAATTCCTATCTCTTATTTGTTTAAAAAATATAAGTTTCAAACTCTAGTTCTCCCACTTTCTGTCTGTAAAATCTAGTTCTCTCCTAATTTCTGTCTGTAAACTCTATTTCTCATTCTATCTGTAAACTCTTGGTCTCCTACTTTCTATTTTTAATATTAGTGCTCATACTTTCAATCTGTAAACTCCAGTTCTCATACTTTCTATCTGTAGTTTTACAGGCATATTAATTAGTGTAAATAGCAAGATGAGAAAACAATTTCCATGGGTATTTCAGGTCATTTATTCAATTCTATTTTCGTTTTGTCGTTATGATTTAGAAATGAAAAAGTTAAAGCGTTCTTATGTAAGCCGTTCTTAAGTTGTTTAGAAAAAACCGCAGGGGTGGGGGGAGGTGGAACCCCCCCCCCAGCCGTGATAGGGTTAAGTGTATTTGATGTTGTTAATAAGCAAATAGTTTGTTAGTTACTCAATAAATAAGTAAAATGAGTCTGTTATCACTGCACAATTGTGGTGTCCCATGCACATTGGACTATTTAAAGTGATTACACGAGTCTAAAAGTCGTCTTCCTATCTCAGTTTTCTTGTATCACTGTAGGAAAATAAGATAAAGATAAATACTAGATAATTAACAGATTCATGCTAAGGTATTAACATATAAAATGATAAATAGACAATTAATAGATAAATGCGTAGATTGATATCCAACATAAATACTGGATAAATAAGATTTTTTAAATTCGCTAGAAATTGGCAGAACTTGATAATTGAACGGCTTGACAGGCTCTATCATACATTGAATAAAATAAAAGAATAAAATAAGTAAAATTGAAAAATATCTATCCATGATCAAATAGCAGGGAAATGTAATTTCCTAAACACGAGAAGGGGCATTGAGGGGGCCCTTCCCTGAATAAGCCCCTGTTAAAATATTGGGTTGCTAAAAAACTTGTAACTAACCTGGGTAAGAAAGTGCTGCCTATCGGAGCACGGATCGACGCCTCGAAATCTGATACGGCGTTGAACTGATAAGGAACCTTTGACACCTTGTGAGCTCTAATCTTCTCATCCTTGTCCACGTTAATAATCAGGTTTCCTCGATTCTCATCACGCCGTTTCTCAACCGGCGGGGCTTTAATGGTGAATCGGCGGCGCTTTCGCTTGGAAGGCATTAGGCCGCCACCACCCCACTCCCCCCAACCCGGAAGGGTTAAATCAATATCCTTAGGTTTGGATGCAGCAACCAGCTCGGCCTTTTCCTTTTGAAAATCTGCTAAAACGTCGTCCTCGGCAAAAGCTTCGGCAATCATTCGTCTTTGCTCGTCATCCGAATCCTGTTCGTCCTCCTCATTATATCCGTAGATCTCTGGTAGTCCAGACTTGAGATTTTTAGTTTTAACGGTTAAAAAGTCGTCCGGGTCCACATCGTCCTTCTTATGAACCTTGACTGTTTTATCCGGCCTCAATTTCCCGTTGGATGATTTCTGAGGGTAATTTAAACTTTCCGCATGTTCTAACCCCGTCTCTTCCTTCTCCTCATCCTCTTCGTCTTCCTTCTCCTCCTCATCCATCCTGTTCATCTCCTCCCTCACCTTCCTCTTGACGGAGAACTCTGCGTCCTCGAACATGTCGTCCATCTCCTCCTGGCCGGTCACCTCCTTCTTGTTCTGCTCGGCTGCATAGAACTTCTTATATCCAGCAGAGAAATCTGCAAAACTCTCCTCCTCCTAAACCAAATTAAAGGAAAAGTGGAAGTTGAAATACGTAGACTAAAAGTCTTTACTCTTCAGGTTCTTTACCTGTCCCAAGATTGGTTGTCTAAAAAAAATGTTTGCCGGAATATGTCTTTTTGAGAGTGTCCCAAGAATATTTTCGTTGAATGAACTGTAAGCGAAATTTCCAGTGACCCTCCATGCAAAAATGACATTGCCTGATTCAGTGCGCTTTTAACCCTGAAGAAGATCAAGATAAAGGTTTTAAAAGGCTACTTTTGTGAATCGGGCATTGTCATCTTTGCATGGAGGTTCACTTGAAATTACGCTTCACATTGCGTTCCTGTCGTGTAAAGATGAATTCCTACTGTTGAAGGATGATGTTGAAAGTTAAAAGACGACATTTAAACTTAAAAGTATTTTAGATTTTTTGATAAACTTAGAAAAATATTTTTGAAGCAAATATGTTTACAAAATGTACATTTGTACGCAAAGTGTCAGTATTTACTAGTACAAATGTACTTTATTACAACAATGTTAAATCTTGACTTTGTTCAAGTATCATTTAATTTACTGAAACATGAGACGCAGTTATCTGGTGCTATATCAATTGGACTAATGGTCGAATGGACTAACTCTAAATTTTACTGAAGTCAGCTGTTCATTTACTGAATTTAGCTGTTCACTTACTGAATTTGTGCTTATTAACTTGGCTTATAATCATTTAGGAAAAAAAGTGTAATTGCAATTTGATTTCATTTGATTTTTTTCTGAAATATGAATTCTGCTAAAAAAATGAGTGTTGTAAAACAACACTAATCTTGTTTTTTTTTACCAACCCTGTATTTTTGGAAAGCCAAATATTATTTAGATTTTTCTTAAGGCTCATCTGTTGAAAATAATTATCATCAATAGCATAAAGGCGATAACTCATCTAAACAGCTTCAATTTGTAATGTTTAAAAATAAATTATTAACTATTTGTTTCCTTAAATTTTATAATGTAAGACTTTTTTGTGTATGAGGATTATATTATGGATCAATGCTATTCTAATTTGAATAAACTAAATAAATTCATAGCATGTTAAATGGTTTTTTATTCCCGATATGGTGTCGTAAACAAAGGAATTTAACATAAGTTCATATTGTTATATTGTTATATGGAAAATTCCTCCTAGGAAGATGTTGTGAGATAGAGGACGACATTGAATAAATTAAATATATGCACAGTGTGGCTTACAGTCCCTTTAACTAAAAAGCTTTCTGTGTAATGATACCTGATCCTCAATCAGTAGTTTCGATTTATCAATATTAACATCTTCAAGGTCGGAGTCATCTTCATCCTCGCTTTCACTAACTATTTTAGCCTTAATATATTTATCAATATTAACATCTTCATGGTCGGAGTCATCTTCATCCTCGCTTTCACTAACTATTTTAGCCTTAATATATTTATCAATATTAACATCTTCATGGTCGGAGTCANTAAAACATGGGATTTAGAGGGGGGGGTCAAATTGACCCCCCCCCCTGTTTACCTTGGCTAGTAGTTCTCTGTGCTTGTTAAGGTTCTCTTGAACGAGCGCTTGAAGATCTTTATCCTTCGTCATCTTAGCACGCTTAGCTAGATCCTGCACAGTGAACAATATTAGATAATTAAATTAAACTTAAAGGGATTTCAAGTGACTCTCCATTTACAGAGTGGCATGTGCAATTTACAAAGGTACCATTAGAAGATAAGTCTAAGTAAGAATTCAGATATCCATCATATTTCCATTATAAAATGAGTATTTTTAAATATGGTTTCTCTAATGCGCATGTCTCCTTCAGAAAAAAAATGGGGACAATGCTAGAATTGTCCAGCTAGAAAAACGACGATATCTTCCACATTTTTGATCAGATAAAGGTAACCATTGTGAATGTGAATAAGGCATGCCCCTTTTTTTCTAATGGAAGGTCACTTGAAATTAACGACAGTTCCTTTTTCAATCTTAAACTAATAAATGTAAACATAGAATACTCGTATTTACATATTTGTATTCAAACAATTCTGTTCAGTTTCCTCTCAAATACCATCCTTTCTTAACTCAAAAAGTATTGGTCTGAGGCTGTTGAAATTTTCTGACTTTTCTTACATACCCACAGCCCTCCCTTTAGGCCTAAAACCGGGCTTTAATACTAACTGCCTGAATGACTGCTTTTTCCTGTAACAAACTAAATCTTTGTTTTGACCAACTTCCACTTGTCAGATTTTGATAAAATTTAGCTATTTAGAAAGCCTTTGACATAAGAAAACGAATTGCACAAGTTTTGCGAAAAAAAAAATTGTATTTGGATATCAAACATGGGATTTAGTTTTCAAGTACCCCAGCAGAGATAGGGTTAAGAATGAACCAAACCAAACAAGAGGGTTTTGAGTTATGATCGGACATACAAAAATCACCGACAAACAGAGCTAGGTTAATATCATAAAAATAGTAATTTATGTTTGGATCCCCCTCCTCAGAGGTCAGAGGATATAAAACGAAAATTTACATAGCAAAAATAGTTTTAATAGGTAAATAAATATTCATGATTTTCTCTCAAAATTAATTGAGTTTCTTAAATATTACAAAAAATAGAATCTATGCATGCGCCGAGCCAGACCAGTTCACCAATTTTACTCGACAAATATCTCAACCCCGCCCCTTTCCAGGATATACCAAGCTCAACCTCTGGCGTACCTATCAATTCTTTCTAGTTCCTCCGCCGCTGCCTGAGGATCTGTCTCCGCTAATCTCTCAAGTTCCGCCAGTTTTTCCTTGTTCTTCTCTTTCCGAGCAATCTTACGATACTTCTTTGATTTTATCTTGTTTTGTCTAAATATCATCAAATTTTATCATGTTTTGTCTAATATCATCAAATTACATCTGGTTTTGTATTTCCTCAATTTATTTCTTCTTATAAATATAATAAAATTTTATCTTGTTTTGTCTAATATCATCAAATTTTATCTTGTTTTGTCTAAATGTCATCAAACTTTATCTTGTTTTGTTTAAATGTCATCAAATTTTATTTTGTTTTGTCTAAATGTCATCAAATTTTATCTTTTTTTTTTGTCTAAATATCATCAAATTTTATCTTGTTTTGTCTAAATGTTATCAAACTTTATCTTGTTTTGTCTAAATGTCATCAAATTGTATCTTGTTTTGTCTAAATGTCATCAAATTCTATCTTGTTTTGTCTAAATATCATCAAATTCTATCTTGTTTTGTCTAAATATCATCAAATTTTATCTTGTTTTGTCTAAATGTCATCAAACTTTATCTTGTTTTGTCTAAATGTCATCAAATTCTATCTTGTTTTGTCTAAATATCATCAAATTTTATCTTGTTTTGTCTAAATGTCATCAAACTTTATCTTGTTTTGTCTAAATATCATCAAATTTTATCTTGTATTGTCTAAATGTCATCAAACTTTATCTTGTTTTGTCTGAATGTCATCAAATTTTATCTTGTTTTGTCTTTATGTCATCAAATTTTATCTGGTTTTGTCTAAATGTCATCAAATTTTATCTTTAATTTTTAATCTTAATTTTTTAATCTTGATTCACTGGATATTCGAAATTATTGAATATAATTTACTCTGTATATTAATGTGATATATGCAACCATATGAATATCATGAAAACAATCTGAAATTTTCTTATATACTCCGCCAGGAGTCCTGAAAATAATCCTAACATAAACATAAACATCTTGTTTTGTCTAAATGTCATCAAATTTTATCTTGTTTTGTAAAAATGTTATCAAATTTTATCTGGTTTTGTAAAAATATTATCAAATTTTATCTGGTTTTGTAAAAATATCATCAAATTTTATCTGTTTTTGTAAAAATATTATCAAATTTTATCTGGTTTTGTTAAAATATAATCAAGTTTTGTCTCGCAAAGTGATTGAAAGCAAGGAATACAACAAGAATTCTCATTAAAATTAAATGTAATTCCGTTCCTGGGAGGAATGTAAACACACACGGTACTGCCTAGGCTAAGACTTTTTACGTTTATCCCAGAAACTGCAGTACACATTTGTTCATGAACATTCCTATTATATGCTTATCATGAAAATATATCTATTTGTTGACCAAGCCAAGGTTACCTTCTATATTTAGCCTCCTGATAAGTCTGTAAAGCGCGAAATTTGGCGAGCTCAGATTTTCTCTCGGCAATCTCACGCGGGGTCAATCCTATAGCATAATCAGCATAAAGCCCCTATTTCAAATGACCCCTCAGGCGGCGTACAAATGCATTAAGTCAGTTATTTACTATGAACACGTATTTATCAATCAATTCTAGAGCAAGAATAATATTTCAGGAGAGTTAACCGCACTTCCTATGAAAACATGTTTTTAAACTTATGGTCTATTTGTATTTATTCTTGTTTTTGCTGTAGAAATTTCCTTGTTACTATTAAACAAATTTGCGGAAAAAAGTAATAAATTTTTAAACAGCGACAATTTAAAATAACAAAGTTGGATCTAAAATGGATCCCTGTTAAACCCTCAAACTGTTGGTAGTTCCAGAACTTCCTCATACAAACGACCTACCTTGTAAAGCTTTCTTCTCTGCCTGACTGAGATCTTCTCCAGGCTGGACAACAGAGTTAGACCCAGCCAACATGGCTGCTACCTGATCAACCGATCAATCAATCAAACGAAGTATCAATCATATTATGAATCAATCAAATGTACAATCGAATGAACAATCAAATTTAAATTAACAGTTACATAAACAATCAAATGAACAGTCACAAAAACAATCAAATGCACAATCAAATAAACATTCAAATGAACAATCACATGAACAATCACATGAACAATCAACCAACCAACCAACCAACCAACCAACCAACCAACCAACCAACCAACCAACCAACCAACCAACCAACCAACCAACCAACCAACCAACCAACTAACCAACCAACCAACCAACCAACCAACCAACCAATCAACAAACCAATCAACCAACCAACCAACCAATAATCTCTTATTAAAAAGTACCTGTTGCTCTAGCGGAGTACTAGCTGAAAATCGGGTTTGAACAACCTGAACAATAAATATTAAAACTTCATCGAATCTTTTATTGTGAAAACACAAACTTATCGAAAATATTTACATTTAAACGTAACTATTTTTTAGGATTTCAGATACCTTATCTGCAGATTGAAGTCTCAGGTCGGGATTAATCAGAGGAAATGTTAAATTTTCCGCCAATCTTCTACCGTGGACCACTGCGTCCCAAACATTTACCTGAAGAGAAAAATAAGAAATTTTGAGATTTTTTTTTCAAATTTGAATTTTGGAATTTCCAGTTTTTAAATGGAAGTATAATGCTAGTTGAAACAGAAAAAATAAATAAAAAAAGTCAACTTACATCCTCTCTAACCCTCGAGTATCCGGCCTCCCTAGTTATCCTCTCAGCTTGAGGTTTTTCCAGGGGCGTACTCAACAACTCTGCTTTCTCACCCTAGATATAGTTCAATTAATATACAGAGGGCTGGGACATCTTTTAATTTAACCCCCTGCCCTCAAAACCGAAGAGGTTGAGGGTTTTGGAATATTTCTTCATTATTTTGAAGAATTTGAATTTTTACAAAAAATAACCGATCTTAAAAGGGAAAATTAACATTTAGAATAAAAAAATTAAATGCAAAGGGGGGTTAATATACATAATTCTGAGTTTGCATGCAAAAAATCAGCCTCCTACGACAATTCTAAGTTATGTTTAACCACTGTTTAAATTTTCCGGAGAGTAATACGTTTTGTGCCCCCCCCCCTTTTAATAAAGGTTAAAGTTGTAAATCGAAGATGTAATTCATATGAATGATTTACTTAAATTATGTTTTCAGTTCCTGTAAGATATTTTTTTTATATGTGTAAGATAACTTTAGAAACAAAAATAATACATTTTTTTTTAAAGTTTAAAGGTCGTGATTGATGTCTCATTCTTAGTGGGTAACCTGTACAAGTGTACAATGATTAGTAAAAACTGTGAGAGGCGATGTAACGGATATGTTAGGATCCATTTCATTTGATGCGGATCCAGATCCCGGATCCGCTCAGACAAAATGGATTCAGATCCAGATCATGAAAATTTCTTCAAGATTTGTTGATTTTTAACAAAAGGAAAGTTTTCAAATTATTTATCTTCTTTTTTTAACTGATTTTTATTCCTAAACTTAAAAAATAATTCAGAAAAACAGAAATTGTTAGGAATCTCTCTTGTTTCAACAGTTCAGATTTGGGGTTGAAGGCCAATTTTGTCTACAATTTTTGTTTGATATTTTTCCCTTTAGATCCGGATTCTAAGCACTGATTGTACGAAATAGTTTTGCGTGGTTTTACTTTTTACAGACCTGTGTACGGCGAGTGAGAGCCCTAGTATCTGAATCCAAGGTATTTAGAAGATCAGACAGATTAACTCTGAACAAAAACAAATTATTAAATAGATTTAACTTTGAAGTTCATTTTCTAATGCCTTCAAAATTGTTCTTTTTGGATTCTGCAGTTCTTAAATGAACTTACCAAACTTGATAGGAAATTAATTTAATTTTTAAAATTTTTATTTTTATTAATACCTGTCTGAAACGGGAAGGGAATGATCTGTAAGAGGAAGATTTGAACCTCGGTTTGTTGTAATTTTCCTTAAAAACAAGATCTGATATATTTCGTGATGATCAGTTTTGCAATATTTTTATATTCCCAAGAATGTATACGACTAAATCCCCCCTTAAACAAATATTGGTAAACCGAAATTTTAAGATTATTCGAGTTTTGGAAAGAAAAAATTGATTTTTAAGGTTTTTTTTATGATTTGAAGAAAGTTTAAGAAAACTTCTGGAGGCATACTTTTTCTTGCCATGGAGGGAGGACATTGCCTCCACAAAATCCTCTTGACCTCTTTCATCTTCATCATCCTCGTTATCATCTCTAATCTCATCCTCATCTAGGAGATCACACATTAGAAACTTGGAGTTGAAACTAAATTTATCCCATCGAAATTGAAAATATATGTATTTCAAGTCGTAACTAAGGGAAATTTAAACGATATTTACTGACAGGGGTGTATATTTTTTCGAAAAACCATTTATCTTCTCCCCCCCTTCCGAAAATATTTTTTCCACACAAGTTACAGCGTTACCAACAAAGGATGAGACTGTAAAGACGACATAAAATCCTTAAATAAGATCCCAAGGCTAAAAATCTTTTGCCGTGAAAAAAAAACTTTTAAGGACTTTTTAAATATTTGGCAAGGGAAGAAAGTACACTTGCAGGGAATTATAAATATAAGAAACGATAACACATAAACTACGTACAATCGTCTCTGAAATCATAAAAAATCATCTCCCTCCCCCGGGAGTAATACTAAAAATATGCATGCACACATGTCCAAGGGGGTTTCGTTCTTAAGATAAGCTTTAAAGATTACCGTATGGCCCTGTTGGGTATAAACTGATTTTTAGTTGATACTTAGAATTGTTTATTTAGCCAAATTAATATTTTCTATCGAAAAAACAGTTTATTTTCCGCTTTCTTACCTTTAAATTCATCTAACTCGTCTTTATTGTTAAGGAGTAATTTTAAATAGTTCAAATCATTCTCATCTTTTACTTCTGCGCTAATTTCTTCAGGTTTCGTAGATTTCTTCCTTTTCTTTTCTTTCTTGGTAGAATTATTTGGAATTTTGGCGGGTTGAGCAGATTTTTTCGGAGATTTTTGTTGGCTTGTATTAACTTCGCTAACGGAGAAGTTAAGAGAGGCACGTTTACGTTTCTTTTCCCGCTTTTTTGAATCTGTTAGATCTCTTTCAACGAACATTTCACTCTAAAAGTAAGAATATTATTTAGCAAAAGTAGTTATCGAATTCAGTCGGTATGAAAATACGATGAAAATATTTTTAAAGGTTTGAACAAAAACATCAAATCTTTTTACCATGTGTGAATAAAAAGCATTTAATAATCGTAATACAATTAGCGCTCATTATTTACAATGGACAGAGTCCTGATTGTCTAGTCTATGCAATCTCCAGATTTGTCTCTAGCTTCGCCAGAAGTTTGGATTTTGTTGCAACCTCCTCTCAAAATTTGTATACCATTGTTGGAGGCATGACAGAGGAACATAGCTTTCACCTAAAAATAATATACATATTTTTTAATCATGATTTTTTTTTTAGAAAACCGGGGTTTCTAGCAACTTTTCAAAATATGAAAACGAAAATATCTTTCACGTTATCAGATGCAGGTTTAAAGCAGTGCTTAGGATCCATTTGATTTTGATGCGGAACCGGATCCGGGTCCTGGATCCGCACTGGAAAAAAATGGACCCAGATCCGGATCCATGTCATTTCTTTAAGATTTACTGATTTTTTTAACAAAATTTTTTTTCTTCACATTTTTGCTTTTATTTTTTTTCGCTTATTTTTATCCTAAAACTTGATGAACCATTCAGAAATGAGAAAATTTTTAAAATCTCTCTTTTTACAAAAGTTCAGATTTGAGTTTAGGAGTAATTTTTTTTTTGTAGTTTATGGTTGATATTTTACCTCTTGGATCCGGATCCGTGGATCCGCATATTTTTGCGGATCCGGATTCAGGAAGCCAAAATCTTGCGGATCCAACGGATCCGGATTCGGATCCTAAGCACTGGTTTAAAGAGTACTGTTGCGAATCAGACTTAGCCTTGCGTATAATACCTGGTTTCTGACGCATATCCATGGGAGAGGCAGCAAAACTTGTTGCGTAATTAAACAGATTTTCCAGCATCTTCTGACTAAATAAATAAATCATTTTTGCCAATAATATTAATGTAAAATAAATAAATGAAAAAAATCTGAATTTTCTTCGTCCATGATCTCATTAATTGTTTTCATAAAACAGGAAATTAGGCCCGTTTGTTCTTCATGTCGGTATTTAATGGATATCATGTCAACATTGTGTCGCCATCAAGTCGGTATCATGTCGGCAATGTGTCGCCATCAAGTCAGAAGAAAATGCACGTATTAAATTGAGAATACGACTTGAAATATAATAAAATTACCTGAATTCCATAAAGGTTGACACGTTTGCCGCTTCAGTTTGTGCCGCAGGCGTCTGTCCCTCTATTATTAAATGTTATTTTAGGAAATATTGTAAGGAACTCGATGAAAATAAAGCTGATAAAACAAAGTCTCTAAAAATCTTAAACGAAAGGTTTAATTTTAAATCAAATTATGGAACAAATTATAGCACAAATACGATGACGATAACTTAAACGATATTCGGCGAAAACGTGATAGCACTCTGTTAGGGGACTGTAGACGTAATTAGTGTTCCAGTGGAATGGCATGTCTGATTCACAAAGATAGCATTAATATAATTGTTATGATTAAGAACGAATGAGATTCGTAGTTAGTAACTATACAGATTTCTGCAACAAAAACAATGAGGAATATTTCAGAATTTGACATTTATTAGGTAAGAAAAGCGACATTATCTTCAACAATGTTGATCAGATAAAGGTTCTAAGGACCCTGATGTGAATGGTACATACCACTTTTCTTTTTTTTAATGGAGAGTCATTTTAAGTTACAACGTCAGTCTCATTAACTTAAAAGATAACAAAAAATCTACAAATAAAGAAATGTTGTTACCTACAACTGCTAGAGGCTCTACTGAAATACCAACAACAGCGTTTACGTGATGAACAGAAGCTAGAGATGTGAAGCTATTCTGTATACTACTACTAGCTTCTCCTCCCTTTAGTTTAGCTATCCTATATATATTATACCATGATAGCTAGTAGCTAGTGATATAAAGCTATTCTGTATACTACTACTAGCTTCTCCTCCCTTCAGTTTAGCTATCCTATATATACTAGACCATGATAGCTAGTAGCTAGAAATATAAACCTATTCTGTATACTACTACTAGCTTTTCCTCCCTTCAGTTTAGCTATCCTATATATATATATATAATACCATGATAGCTAGTAGCTAGAGATATATAGCTATTCTGTATACTACTACTAGCTTCTCCTCCCTTCACTTTAGCTATCCTATATATATTACACCATGATAGCTAGTAGCTAGAGATGTATAGCTATTCTGTATACTATTAGCATCTCCTCCCTTCAGTTTAGCTATCCTAAATATATTATACCATGATAGCTAGTAGCTAGAGATATAAAGCTATTCTGTATACTACTACTACTACTAGCTTCTCCTCCCTTCAGTTTAGCTATCCTATATATATAATACCATGATAGCTAGTAGCTAGAGATATAAAGCTATTCTGTATACTAATAGCTTCTCTCCCCTTTGGTTTAGCTATCCTCTATATATATATTTCCAAGATAGCTAGTAGCTGGAGATAAACAGCAACTTGGTCTATTACAAGCTTTAATAAAGCTATTCCAAATTGTTTAACCGTGCTAGCTTTTTTGACTGATAGGGTCAACTTTTTAATTTTTAGACCACACAAGTTTTTTACCTAGACTGAAATACAATAATGCAATTTTTTTGGAAATTGTTTATTTTATATTTGTAATTGAAAGCTGTAGAAAATTACGCTGAATCCTCAAAAAATGGACTGAACACATTATTCTAAGTGAATCTTAATTTAAAAAGTTGCCTGCCCATTGCTAGATTCAAAAAAGACGAGGATATATTTTATTTTTTTTACTGAAAATGGATTATTTTCCATTGTGGTTTCTCTATAGTGACTTAAGAATGCAGCAGAGAAGGAATGAAATTAACAAACTCAACAAGTTAGTAAAGTTAATAGTTTATCGTACTAAATCAAACATTACATATTGCAATCCCGTCTACGGTTTCTCAAAGATTGAGAACATGTTAAAGGGACTGTACGCGTAATTTTAAGTGACCCTCAAAGTGAAGATTGCAATGCCAAATTTACACGGTAGCCTTGATAGCTTTGTCTGATCAAGTATTAATTAGATTTAATAGTTTTTTTTTCTCTTAATTGTTTATTTTCATTTGCGGTTTCTCTGCGTAAGTGACTTGTGCATTTCTTGATTATAAGAATCAACGGAGAAACGTAAAGAAAAAAAACAAGTTTTTTTATGATATCTTCAACGGTTTTGATCAGATTAAGGGTACCGTCGCAAATCGGACAATGCCTTCTTTGCCTGGAAGGTCACTTGAAATTATGCTTACAATCCCTTTAGTACCTGAATATAGCGGATGGTTTGAGATTAGATATATGTCCAAGCAGTTGCCAGTTGGGGACTCCACCTAGATCATAACAATTGGTGAACAATCTTCATGACAGAAACAAATCTCAAGAACTAAACAAAAGAAAATTCTGGAATCCTCCAACAGCAGAGTTTATGCTCTACTTCGTTACCAATTCTATTAATTGATTTATTTCAAAAATCCTCGAAAGGAGAAATTAGCTGAGATTTATGCAATTGGAATTTTCGAGCATTTCCGACAAGTTTCGACAATGTTCGACAAACTCTCATATCTTATCAGTTCCGTACAGACATGTAGATTTAGAAAATAATAGTCCCAAAGTGGGGTACAAACAACAATCTTGATTTACTTCAGCCCCACTGTTATGGAATAAGTGTTCCATTCTCACAAGGAAACAAATAATTCTTGGAGTTTCTTGAAAAATCATAATTTGGGAAAAATTATTCTTGAGAATGGGGAAGGAGATTTGAATTTACAATCACTCAATCAATCAATCAATCAATTACCTGGATCTGGCCATGCAAAATACACCGCTCCTCCCATACCATCGGGAAACGGAGTCTAAAAACATAATTAATATTATTTTTAATATTAATATATTATGCGTAGGAAGAAAGTGTAATAATCAAAATTATTGTTATAATATTGAAAGAAAAACCGTGGAATAATTTTGATTATTCACCGAAAGGCGCAGCCTGAGGTGAATAATCAAAATTATTCCACGGTTTTTCTTTCAATATTATAACAATAATTTTGATTATTACACTTTCTTCCTACGCATAATAATATTATACCACATTCTTGGAGGATTTAAACGCATTCCCAGAATTAATATGTTAATTCTTATTTTAAATTGATCTATCTATCTATCAAGTTCCCGGTGAATAATTCTTGATATTGTCACTTAGTTCGTGGATCTATCTATCTATCAAGTTTGCGGTGAATAATTCTTGATATTGTCACTTGGTTCGTAGAATATCATAATTATTACATAAAATGGGTGACAATAACAAGAAATATTCCGGATTTGGCTACGTAGTAAATCCGATAAGAATGTGGTATAATAATAATTAATATAAATCTTAGATAGATATAATACAGGATAATTGACCAAATAATAATTGAACTTTTTAATGCAATAAAAAAATACAATATAAACTTTTAAGGGTGTGACAATAATTGATATTGCACATACATTTTAATTGCCTCCACATATCTCATGAACCCCTGGACCGATTTGCCTCAAATCTTAATTGGGTAACTCGATGGAATCAAGTGAATATTCTTAGCCAGGTTGAGTGGTATGTCTTTTATAAGGAAAAACTTCACACACAGCTGGGTTTCCGAGCTAGTTTGTTTACTTGTTAAGAATCTTATGGCCGATTTAACTAGACGGACGAATTACCTGGCCTGTCAGGAAAATGACGATATGATTGACGGAGTCCGCATCTACTAATTCCGTCACACAATTTGTTGGACTTATCTAAACATGGCAAACGATATTCTTTTATAACTGAAAAATTCTGTCTGGGGTTTTCAAAGCACCTCTCCCACGTAGAAAAAACACAAGAAAAAAAAACATTTTATTCTCTTAAAAGTCGAACCCATTAAAATTTTGTTTTTTAATACTAAGATTGTAAATGCAATTGTTACAAATTTCTGGAAGAAAAGAAAGTAACATGAAATACTATATTAATAAATTCTTGTGTAAAAGGTATCAGAAGAATGAAACAAGTTGCCTTTAAATGAAAATTTTTTCTCTCATATCATCAAAAATATTCTGTAAAATGTACACCCCTGATTAAATTAAGAAACTGATTTATATTTGGAAAAGGATATATTCTAAAATAAAAATAAGCAATATTTTCAGTATTCTACCTGTTCCCAATTCGTCGAGACTAAACGACCGGAAGCGATCAATCCAAACATTTTTACTTCCGGTTGATGAACAAATCTATCTATCTATCTGCAGGAACCAGATATTAATGAGAAAATAAAATTTTGCATTGTCGCATAAGCACATTTTAGCGCAGACTATTCTCAATATTTTTTAAAAATCTTAAACTCGTTTATAGTTTCAAAAAAAGAGAAAAAACGAAAGCCAACGCTTATTTGTCTCCTTTGCATGCTTATTGTGAATCTTAAGCATTTTTTTCGAAAGCCCTCGGGATCTACATTCTACATAAATCTCAAATTTTACAAGTTTGAAAAAAAACAATATTTCTTGTAAAATTAGGTTGGTATCTTCTTGTTATTTTAGTGATCTCTAGACCCCAGTTAGGGGTATATTAAGAATATCTGCATAGTGTCTACAGATTAACTATTTTCATCAATATTATTATTCCAACAATTTCTTCGGCATAATTGTTTTTAAACGACTTTCCAGAGTATTTAATTTCTATTAGCAAACTGTTCCGTTTTACTACTCCCAATCTTGACCGCGAGTTTATCAAATTAAGTAGATCTGAGAAGAGCTAGTCTATGTACTCCTACTCTAACTAAATCAATCCAAGTATCTACTTGATACATCATCAAAACCATGGATAGTATGTTTGCAGCCTGTCGATATAAAGTCTTCTGTCCAAGTTCCAGTTCTTTCAGTTTGTCTACATAAGTTCTACCCGACAGCCCAGATATCTTATTGACTGCTCTACGTTGAACCTGTTTTAATACATCTTTATCTGCTGCGTCCAACAAGCAGACACGGAAAATTAAAGATGGTATCTCAAATCTTATTTATACAGATTAATGAAAATATGTCCATCCCTGGAGTTGAATACACGTGCGATTGTTCCTATCATAGAGTTTGCATTTTTAGCCGCTTCCAAGCATTGAAGCGATGCTATTAACTATCCATAAAAAGAACTTTTAGGGCACTGTCCCTCTCTTAGGTATATATTTGTTAGGGAAAACTTACGACCTTTCAACACTTCTTAATTTACTACTCCTTTCAACACCTCTTAATTTACTACTCCTTTCAACACTTTTTAATTTACTACTCCTCTCAACACTTCTCAATTTACTACTTCTTTCAACACTTCTTAATTTACTACTCCTTTCAACACTTCTTAATTTACTACTCCTTTCAACACTTCTTAATTTACTACTAACTTATTCCTAAAAAAATTTAAGTTGAGACTTCAAACCAGCAATTAAGCGCACACTGCGACTTGAAAGACTTTTCTCAGTGCGTGATATTACACATTGTGCGTACTGCGTAGCGAGATTAAATATTACGCAGTTTACACTCATTTCTTAAATACTTTGGATTTAAACTAGTCCAGGTATAATGAACCGAATAGGAATATAAAGGGTGTCCCACATCATATTTTAGTGTTATAGCTTTTAATTGCAATTTCCGGGACTGATCAGAAAATTTTAAAAAGATTGAATCAATTAAAAAATTGTATATTGCTTATATAAAGATTTGCATGCAGAGAATACTCGAGTTTTCGAGTATTATGAGCGTATTTTGGCGTTGTCTGGAGATAATCTAATATAGTCTCTGTACATTTTTTATAATAAAAAACAACAAAAATTTAACCCTCTATAACTTAATTTACCTAAAAAAGATTAAATGTAATATATTTTAAGAGTTTTTACTTCGGGGAGAACTCCAAAAATAATTAGTTATATTTCAGCTTGACCATGAACCTTTATCAAAACTTGGTATGTGTAATTTAAGACGGTACCTTTATAACTATGAGAAAGATATCAGTTTTTTTTGCATATAGAAATAGAGGGACATAATTTAAATTAAAGAAAGGGGGCGACCTATCAAGAACTTTATAACCTGCTTTGTGAGACTATCGTCTTTGAACTACAAATAAAAACAATTTACTCGGGCTTAAATACATCTTGTTCAAAGATGCAAAATAATCCGCACACAGAAAATATGAGACTTGATGACAATCTTTAAATGCGACAAACAAAAGGTGGAATTTAAGGTCTGCTACGGATTAGCCTTCAATTTTTTATAACTTCGGTATTTGGTGAAGATAAAAAGACGTATGAGCTAAAAGTTGCGTAGAAACTAAGAAATTCAGATAAGTTGGCTCTGAAGTCGCATACTTATTACTTACTGAGAAACAGTAAGAGATCTCTCTAGCACCAGAGCCCGAAACTTAAACGACATTATCGTAATGAAACCCGGTATGGTGCATTGGGACAACTCCCTTGCATGGGTCGAGAAAGGGAACCCCCAGACGTCATTAGCCGCTGCTATACAGACACGAGCCTCCCAGATTTGCTAGACAGACCAAGCTTCCACTATAAAGACCAAGCCTCAGCTATGCAGACCGTGCCTCCGCTATGCAGTGAGCGAGCCTCTACCATACAAACAGCTTTGTATGAATGTGTAATGAAAAATGTTAACATTTTTTTTAGACGTAGTGGCATAAGAATTAATTAAAGATTGGATTTATTTTTTGAGTGTCATGATTGAAAACATGTATGTACTATTTAAAAGCTGTTCTGTAAGGTGGAGGCTCGTTCTCTGCAATAGCGGAGGCTTCGTCTGGATAATGAAAGCTTGATCTGCCTAGAAAATCTGGGAGGCTCGTGTCAGCATAGCGGAGGCTCATCACGTCAGATTCCCTCCTCGTAGAGCGGACTCCCCTCCAGCTTTTCGGACCACAGAAGGGAAACTAAAATATTTGGTTTGACAACTCTCACAAATTACAAGCTTATTTTCTTCAACAACTACTTGATATTCTTCCATCAAATATATTCGCAATCTTACGATACGCAGTAAGTTTCAATAGTAAATGTTTCAAATATTTCCTTAATTACCAACTTTCCTCCCAATCTTAACATTCACGGAAGAATAATTTTGAATTTCAGAACGGTCAATTCATTATATAAAAAAATTGCACAACTTCCAGTAATGATCTGTTCCTTAAAATAATTGTTCAAATCCGCTCAGATTCTTCCATTCTCTCTGAAATAATTTAACGCTTAAAATATTTCTATGGAGTGCATAACGTATATTTCAGCAAGAAACCGGTTAAGGGATTATAAACAAGCTGGTGTACTGCAGTCCGTTGTTTGTTTAGGTTTGCTCAGGATGGTGTAGCGGGGAGAGAATAGCCGGGCCGACATTAGGACTACAAAATGGTTCAACAATAACGCATAATTCAAACCAGAAAATCCTACAATAATTATCTTTTAAATCCCAAGATATAATTTATTTCTGTTAAATGATGTTAAATTACAAAAACAATCCAGTATTTTGACTAGAAAAGTTGGCATCAAATCTTGTTTTTAATAATGTGAACAAAAAATGCCAACTTTCTAGTGCGTTATTTTAATCACAAAACTTAAGTCTAGTTGTAGGAACCATTCCTTAAGAGCTGCTTCCTTGAGAGAGGCTGCTTAGTGCTGCTTCCTCCGGAAAGAGCATCCTTCAGTCAACCTAAAAAATCTGAATTAATCACGAGAAAAATAAATAAATACAAAAATAGATAATTCAAATATCAGATTGATTGAGTTAGTTATCATGAAGAGCCCCAAAAGCTTTTTCAGGATTAGCATAGCATATTCATCATTTAGATCACCACCCGTACTGCCGTTAATACTCGGTATGTACATTGGAAATAAGAATTAATCCCAAGAAACAGCCCTTAACGTGGTTACGCACTGAACTTTGTCTTAAAACAAAAAGTATTTCAAAAATTGATCTGAGCTGAAAACTTTAGAATGGTGGATATCGGGATTAATGCTTGATCCTCTCTTTTTGATAATCTCAAGATTAACATAATCTTGCAAGATTATGAAAAACTGTAATCATCAGAGAAACTGCAGCAGCCAATCAGAGAAAAGCAGACAACCAAATGAGAGAACAGAAATATTCTCATTTGAGAAAACAATTTGGTTGTGAATCAGGCATTCAGGCATAATATCCATCTTGACAGAAAAACCGATTGATAAAATTCCATCTCAATATCCAGCAGTGGGAGAACGCTACAGGAATTAATTGAAGAATTTTCGCATCATCCTGAATTTAAAATACCAGGAAATATTTTCGAGATTCATGAAGAAAGCTTGGACATCATAAGGAAAGTTGATCCCATTTCATCGAAAAAAGTTTTATTAATTTCAAACCATAATTCAACAGGAGGACTACAGGATTCAGATATTAAGTGTCCCGAGATCTACTCAATGTAAAGTTCCAACCACTGAATAATTTTTGAATGAATGAATATATATATATACCTAGCTCTGCCTCCAGTGGGCTGACATAGAACAGTGCTGCAACCTGCACACACTACAACAGTCTGGGCGTGGCTGAAAACTGTAGTGATCCTGAAACAAATGCAAGTAGGCATTGGAATTATATTTTTAAGTACATACGTAACAATATGAAAGTTAAATGATCAAGAATAATAATATAATCCGCATTTTCTAATGGCTAGATGTCACAAATATAAATTACTTGTAAGACAGCCAGTTAAAGTAAATACTACGATTTTTAAGAAAATTTTCCCGAGATACGTTTTATTTTCAATGAAAAGTCTTGAAGATTTAGGCCTCTAAAATTAGTAACAATTCAAGTGACAGAGTAGGACAACTCAAGCTGTATCTCATTAAGTCACGACTGCCCTCAAGTAGTGCAGGTCATTTAATGATCATATCTAATCATGTTCCGTAGTTGCCCTTAAATCTAGCCCCGTCTTATTACAAAAGTAAAAATTCTGAACTACAAAAGCATGTTTCGTAATTATACATTACATAGGCACCGCCACAAAAGAAAAAAAAGAAAGGCAATGTTTCTCTCTCGTAAGTACTTTTAATGAATTCCACTTACTTGTAGCACCCTGGGCACTTAACATCCATGAAGTGGGAGTTAGGGTGCTGGACCAAGCGCTTCAGCTAAAAAAAAAAAAAATGTAATTGAAGTTAAAATTTGTATTGTAGGAATTGTTAGTTATACTCAGTGATCGTCCATTTTAAATTTATGATTCAACTTCTTTGAATCTCCCAGATCAAAGCAAAAATATCATAGTTTCTCCTTAAATGGTACATTTTCTATCATTAAATACAAAGCAAAAGCAAGTACCTTACTTTACTAAAACGTGGAAAATGTGTATTCTTTCAAAATAAAAAATTTGAGGGGGAGGGGTGTTATTCAAATTTTACACCCTTAGGTTATGAAAATGTTTGAACCACAATAAATACAAACAGAATGGAACTGAGTGTAGGAATAGAAGGTTCAGAATAGTATTGCAGCATTAAAAATTGGACAGATCTATAGACTAAATCCACACAGAGTGCAGCTGCTTAAAATTTTTCGATTAAAATTTCTTTTAATTGGTTCTAATTTAAAGCGATTTTTTTTGAATAGGTTGCAACTTCTTTCGTCAATGCTAATTGGCACCCCTGTAATCATAAAGGTAAACAAATTTTGTTTCCATCATTTAATGATGAATTATCACAAGTTCAGCACCCAAGAAACGGCTAGAATATAACGGATTACAAAAGTGTAAACGCAAGCTATGTTCCTTTCTAATAAGCAGGTAGTGAATATGAGCCTTGTCAGAGCACTTTCAACGCTTACTGATTAAATTTTTAAACATTTTTTTTGTTAAACGTTACAGTAAGTTCCCTAATGAATATAACAATTTTAGTGCTTAGGATCCATTTAATTTTAATGCGGATCCAGGCCTGGTCATTTCTTTAAGATTTACTGAATTTTTTAACAAAAAATAGTTTGTTTTTTTCTTCGCTTTTCAGAAACGAGGAAACTTTTATATTCTCTTTTTTCAAAAGTTCAGATTTAGGTTTTAGGAATAAAGTTTTTTTTGGCAGTTGGATCCGGATCCGTGGATCCGCATATTTTGACGGATCCAAAATTTATGAAGCCCCTTCGATCCGGATCCAGGAAGCAAAAATCTAATGGATCCAACAGATCCAGATCCTTAGCACTTATATCGGTAAGTCTGAAATATGTCGAGGTACCAGACTTTTGTAGGGGGTTTAAATTGAAAGGAAGACCTTCATACTCAAGGGAATAAAAAGAGGTACAATTTACAAATATAAACATATAATCATATCTTCTGAAACACCGCCATAAAATCTACCTTATGCTTCCTTTTCTCCTCATGAGGCTGAGGGTGAAGTAAATCTCTCGCAAGCGGCATTTTCTCTGGAAATCATTAAGAAGTTAAATTTCAGATGATGATGTTCATTTCAACTGATTAATCATGAAGTTTCTGATCAACTGATTGATCATGTTGTTTCTGATCAACTGATTGATCAATCAACATCACTTCTAGATGTATTACAGAGGTGTAGGATGGAAGATTATGCGTCAGCAATGGTCACTTCAACCTAGACAAACAATTATTATTATAAATCGTACAAGCTTAAGTGCTCGGCATTGCCCGTGGAATTTTAAAAACTCGAATTTAACTAATAAAGAAGATATAAATCGATTTTTTATTTATATCAACCCTGGCACCCATGGGTTCCCTAAAAAATTCAGCCAAATCAATCCAGCTATAGCTATTATGTATACAAATATATATTTATGAGCGAAGAGCTTTCCTACATACAAGTGTTATTTGTAAATTTTTAATTGAACGCCGTAAATTTTTACTTTTCTTTTTTTATGAACTTTTTATCCAAAATTAAGTTGAAACGCAAGTCTTAAATCGGCTCAGTTTGCTTTCATTATTTTCTGTCGGGATCAAAATTTTGCATAATGGAAGACTAGATTGAACATGTGCATTATAAAAAAATGAAAATTATTTTAACCATTTCAGTTAGGAACTCGGGACAAATATTAAATACTGTTGTATGATTCATAATAATTACTATCAGAATAAGTCTGAAAGTAGGAATAGAAAAATCAATTGTTCTTGCAGCATTAAAAATTGGACAGATCTATAGACAAGATCCACACAGAGTGCAGCTGCTTAAATTATCTTAAACTTTAAACTCGAAAAAATTCGAAATCCACCAGAATTCAGAGAAAAATTTAGTAAAAATCATTTTGTTGCAGGATGTTTGAATCATAATAATAATGCACTTAAAGAAAAGGTGCATTGGAATAGATTAATTCAATATTTTATTGCAGCATTAAAAATTGGACAGATCTATAAACTAGATCCACACAGAGTGCAGCTGCGATCTACGAGAAATATGTAACGATAGGATAAAAATTTACCGGTGTATCTGAATTTTATTTTTTTCTGATGTTTTAATATTTTTTCCCCATAGGTTTATTTTTAAGTGACGTAAGTCTTAATTTGGTCAAGAAACTGCATTTCGTTAGAAAAAACTTTATTTTTTAATCTTTCACCATTTAAGCAACTAACCTCAACTCCGGGTTCGATGTTGATGGAGGTGATCTGCTTGACGATCTCAGAGGGTGAGTGGAGATCAATAACACGCTTGTGGATCCTCAGTTGGAATTTGTCCCAAGTCTTAGAACCTTCTCCGCAAGGGGTCTTACGGGTGGTGATCCTCAGAACTTTGGTGGGCATTCTGACGGGGCCCTTGACCTAGTCAAATAAACGGTTAATTAAGTTTAAAAACCCAAAATTATCGGAACACCATCGGTTTCTACCAAAGCAACAATTCTATGGTTAAAACCACTAAAAGCCAAAATAGAGAAAATCGGGTTTTTGTTGTACCAAAGCGAGTTAAAACACTGTATGTCAAGTTCAGTAAATAGTTGATGCTACTAAGGATTACTTAATTTAATTAACTCACTGAAATAAAAACAGACTTTAAGGTACGTCCTCCACTCACATGCCAAAATTGAAGTGACTTGACTAAACAAATGATGCTGTGAGCTTTCCCGATTCGTAACTTTTGTTCAGATTTTACTTTAAAGTTAAATCGAGAAACCATTGCAGATCTTTAGTCCTTTTAAATGACTTCCCCCAAAATGACATTGTTCAAATTTTTCGCTCAAATCAACCTCCTAAATAAACTGAACTTTTTTCCAGATGAAACTTTTGGTCTTGATAATCAATTTAACTTGAGTGTATCAGATATTGGAGGCCAGAAAAGTTCCGAAACGCTAATCTGGTACTATGTCCTGCTATTTCTCTACCAGACTAACACCAGAGAACAATGTACACTACACAGAACGTGTATTGCACACTGCAACATCCAAACTTTTGGAGCCCTGTAGTGCCAGCTGGAAATGTTAAGTTTTAACTATTTATAATTTATTTTTCAAATTTTAGGGAAATCTGCAATTAACAGCATCAGTAAGTTTTAATCGAAAATCGCAGATTAGTTAGTATCTGGACAAAACGGTAAGGTGATAGGAACCCTTGGATGAAACCCAGAAATCAAAGAAACCTAATTCAACAATCATTTTTCTTTTTGAAAGTTATGTATCAGATATTGGAGGCCAGAAAAGTTCCGAAACGCTAATCTGGTACTATGTCCTGCTATTTCTCTACCAGACTAACACCAGAGAACAGTGTACACTACACAGAACGTGTACGGCACACTGCAACATCCAAACTTTTGGAGCCCTGTAGTGCCAGCTGGAAATGTTCAGTTTAAACTATTTATAATGAAAAAATCTTGGTATGAGTATTTCTCTCATTAATTGTCTAACTTGACTAAATTGACCAACTAGCAATCTTTTGGGAAATCAGTAATTATCAGCATCTGCAAAAAGCTAGAGTTAACGGTTAGATTGCAGGAACCCTTGGATGAGAACCAGATATCAAACAAGTCTAATTTGACAGTTTTCTATTTGAAAGTTATGCAACAGATATTGGATAACAGAAAAGTTCCGAAACCCTAATCTGGTAATATGTCCTGCTATTTCTCTACCAAACTAACACCAGAAAACAGTGAACACTACACAGAACTGCAACATCCAAACTTATGGAGCCCTGTAATGTCAGCTGGAAATTTTAAAGTTTCGACATTCGAATAGAACTGTTAGTAGGAACAAATCATTGGATATAACATGAAACTTTTAGATAAAGTTTAACCTTAAAAACTCTCAAAGTACAAATAAATTGACGAACCACAAATGTAAGAAAGTTTATAAAAATAAATTGTCAAAAGTCGCTGGATCTCATAGAAAACGATAATTATAAAATGAAATTGTACCTTGAGTTCCTTGTCCTTAGCTCCACGGATAAGATCAGCACAGACCTTCACATTTAAAAATTCAGATTACGCCAAATCCAAGTTGCTCAAACATTATTAATGAAAAGAAGCGATTTTTAAAATATTGAGTAAATTATGAAGTAAAAAGAATCTCCCGGACGCCATCAGGAAGGCGCCGAGTCTATCACCCTTTCGTGTCCCATCCTACATTTGTCGCCACCCCGATTTTTTATTAGGTTCACGACTCCGATAAAAGTATCATGAGAAATAAAATATAATTCCAATTTAAAATATTATTTAAAACGCCCACTCCAATAAAAATTTAAACACTTCGTGAATTGATTTTATTTCCCCGAAATCTGCTTATTCAATGTCTTTACCTTCTCCAGGGGAGCGACGTTCTTAGAGGTCAAGGTAATTCTGATCCTGTGGACCTTTGCCTCCTCCTCAACGGTCTTACCATCCTGCACAAACAAAAATTAATGTTTTTTTCCTGGCAACAAGGAAGAACGCAATAACCGTGCCAACTCTATCCCCTCCCCTTTTGTTCGCAAACGAGAACATTTAATTGACTAACTGCATTTTTAAGTAGAAAATTGAAAATTAAAAAATAATTCGCATGAAAATTAAAAGTTGATGAAACTTAAATTTGTCGCCAGGTCTACTATCAAACCCCGGATACTAATCTCGGTGTTAGCGAATCCTTGCAATTATTCTTGCAAACTTAGTAAAGCAAAATATATTAGTTATAAATTACTGCATGTTAAGAGTTTGCACAAAATTAAATTTAAAATTAAAGTGGAACTGAATTTTATTCAAATGATTTTGGAAGATCTGGGGTAAGTATACAGTTTAGGCCGAATGAAAAAAAATCTTGATTTTATCTTAACAAACATAGAAAGGATTTTATCAAATGAACGCGTGTAACAAAAATCCCTCTTTTATGCTACATATGCATCGTTTAAACGGCATTAAGTAAAAAAGCTAAGCAAAGATTTGAGAAGCTATAAGGCATGGAATAACCGTTATTTGTCGCCAGGTCTACTATCAAACCCCGGATACTAATCTCGGTGTTAGCGAATCCTTGCAATTATTCTTGCAAACTTAGTAAAGCAAAATATAATTATTATATGTTGCTGCATGTTAAGTTTGCTCCAGATTTATTTCTGAACTTTTTTTTGAAAACAATAACCTCCAGTCTTTGAATATTTTGTCACTCGAATTTCTCGGAGAAATTAACTTGAGAATAAAGTCCAAAATAAAAATTTGTTTTTTCCCCAAAAAGAATAAATGCTCAAATTGTCGGATCAGACCAGATTTAAGGTTTTAAGTCTGTCGCCAGGTCTACTATCAAACCCCGGATACAAATCTCGGTGTTAGCGAATCCTTGCAATTGTTATTGCAAACTCAAAAATGCAAAATACAAAGTTCATAATTTGCAAAATGAGAATTTGCGTCTTCACTAAAATTAAATAACCATTTTAAGATATTAACAAACTATAAGAGCATTTTTGGTCTGTTATTAAATCAATCGTTACCTTATTAAAAGACATTTTTCTCGGTCGAGTTAATGAAACGTTAATATTTCACCAGCGCTGAACCTGAACCACCTCTGAAATAAGATTTCATGAAATCAACGTCGTTGTGTAATGATTAACACAAGAACGTAAATAAACAGCCAGAGCTGGTTGTTGGGCTCGGTGAATCACAAAGATCTGGAGGATGGTAGAGAAGGATGTTGAAGAGTGTTTATAGTTCCTTCATCTCTCTCAACCTCCTGACAGCAGACCTGAAACAACAGAGATTAAATCCAAGCTTCACCAAGATAAATAGTTCGTAACATTTCTTTCCATTTGCAACAGTTTAGCTTTCTGTATCCGGAATACACGTTAGTGTTCACAACCCACAAATTTGAACTGTTGAAAATAGTGAGATTGTTAAAAATCTTTTTTTTAAAATGAGATATTTTCGTGAAAATAAGCGAAGAAATGGAGCGAAATATTTCGAAAATTCTACTTCTGTAAAACCCATCGGTAAATCTCGAAGAAATTCTATCCAATACAATAAAATACAGTTTATTTGGATGACAAAACAAAGATCCATGTATCCAAATTTAAGGAATATAATATCACCAAATAAAAATTTCAAAAATCGCAAAACCCAAATCTTAACTATTGCAGAAAGAGTCAATAAAACTTTCCCAAACATGAAAGTGCATATAAATCTGACAGAAAATTTGCATGTTCCATGACGTGGATCCGGATTCGTATCCAAATGGGTCCTAAGCACTGTCAAGGTACACAGAATAAAGCTCACCTGACGGAAGCGGCGGCGGTGGTAGTGTAGTTCCAGGCTCCTCCGGCAACACGGATTCTGCAGTTCTTAGTTCCACACTGCCAGATACCAACAGCCTGGACCAAATCGGATATTTTTAACAAGGGTCAAACATCACAATTTCAAGCAGAGGTGAATATTTTCCAATTTTTTTCAGGGGGAGAGATTAGGGAGAAAATATGATAAATGTGACATCATAACGCACATTCATTCTTTTCTTGTACCGTATAACCAAAAGAAATTTTTCCCATCATGAATTAAAATCCTTAATTTCACTTCAGGGAGGGGGGGGGGGGGGAAAAA